TAATTGTTTGGTGACCACTTATTACTATCACTATTTTTTAAAATGCAGAGACGCTCTTTGGAAATACGATTTCACCAATGAGGAAAAAAATATTAAGACTTTTACCCACTTTGAGGATGCAGTACTGAAAAAGAAGAAGGTTTCTGTACCTCTGTGCATTGAGGATGAAATAGAAAAACCAAATGCCAAAGTGATCAGAGCTGGCAGCTCAGGGCCAAAATGTGACAGCTCACCGGTAATATCATCTCCCCACCACTTCTACCTGTTTAATGGGTTTTTTAAAAAATTCTATAGGTTAAGAAAGTAGTTACCTTAAGAATTTCCCATTCTTATCTCAGTGTTAAGATACCCACTGGAAAAACAGGTTACATGGTTTGAAAGAATTCTCATTGCTAATTACAGAATGTAAGAGAATTCTTTATGAAGAACTGGTTCACAAGAATGGAAATCCCCGTGGCTATCAGTTAAATCAGTAGCTGTCTTAGGCAAGAGGCTGCTAAAATACTTCATAAACCAATAGACTTCACAGTGCAACTATCCCTGCTATTCCTATTTGAAGGACCAAAGGAAGACATTTTTTGTTGTATATTTTAAAACTCTTTTTTTTTTTTGATGGGGAAGTGTATTCAACCAACTGCTGCTAAGCATGGACAATTGAAATTAATGAACTAAGTCGTGTTTCTAACCTCAATAGGCCTATTCTGAGTAGGACAAACACCACACAGAAAGTCCCATTTCCCATTGGACAGCAGCTAATCAGCATTCTGTTCAACTAATGCTGATGGTAATATACATTTTTTTTTACATTCTTGCCATGTTATATGTTATCTTGGCCATATTCACATGACCTTTAGCAACTGGCTTAACTGACATCTAAGCCCACAGATGTAATCTTTTTATGGGACCTGAGTGAAATGTGTCACAAAATACGGGGAAATGCATTTCTGCATGATTTACTGCTGAATTAAACCCTCATTGCAATCAGAAGACTTCGTTTACAAAGTACTATCCCCCGCCCCCCCCGCACAAATGACTTCATCTGTTTTCAAAGCATATAGATTGGATTTTACTAATACTACAGATACAGAAATGGGCCCAGCGTCATACAGTGCCTGAGAATGCTGAGCTTGTATATGGGAAATCTTGTTTCAGTCAAATTGCTACTTAGCTATAAAGCTGTGTGTATTTTTGGGCAAGTCATTATCTTACAGCCTTGCCCATCTCATGGGGTCGTTGTGAAGCTGAAATGCTAGTCTGAGCTCTTTGAAGAATGGGTCATGCACATAGGAAACTGCTTTAGTATGGCTCAGTATGTTAGATCACTGGTCCATCTAATCCAGTATTGTTTACACTGACTGGCAGCAGCTCTCCAGAGTTTCAGACAGGGGTCCTTCCTATCCCTACCTGCATATGTTCATGTCATGAGTCACTTAGTGCCTTTGGGTTCAGATCTGGGATGGCAGACTGGAGGAATGGGGAGGGGGGGATTGAGACAGTAGAGCAAAGCCTTTCTGAAGAAAGCTCTTCCCTGGCAGACAACAATACTGGAACAGGAGTTCTAGCTGCTTCCTACCCTGTGCTGTTGGTGGCTGGAGAGACCTCAGAGCTATGGCTTGAGGTGGCTGAACTGGATTTAGTGGGCACAGGTCTAATAAGCACTCCCAGGGTCAAACAATGCCTCTGCTGATGAGAAACAGACACATGTGCCCTAGCAGTGTGCGTGCCTACAAGCTAGACATTCTCACCAAGCTAATAAAGCTTGTCAAGTGGTGTGAAAGTTTTGTTGGTCTGAAAGGTTTTAACATTTCTCTCCTCCTTTCTCTAGAAGTCAAGTGAATCATTTCCCGTCTATTGCCACAATGAAGGGTATGTAAAGAAGCATGCATTGAATACATGTCTTTCTATGTATGGGGATGGAGCATTTTATGGTGTGAATAGGAGTGGTGAAATATGCATGCAGCTAAACCCGGTCCTACGAAATAACTATAATGAATCCACTGCAATCACCAGAAGTAAACAAAATTCTCCCCCCAATGAAACTACAAAGAGGAAGAAAAAGCCAGCCCTGTCTGGGAAACCAAAACGCATCGCTGTTCAGATTTTATCTGTGAAGAAAACACCATGTGATGATATCTTCACAAGTTCTCAGAAAGAGATTGTTCAGAAGATGAGTGGAAGTGCCACAAAAACTTTCAGCAGACATATGGTCCCTGAAAGGAGTATTTCAACAAACATGCCTCAGCGTCAGAAAGAAGGCCTTATGGTATGTGGAGAGAATCCAACGCTGGCCATATACCGTACTATTTCATCTAGAAGCCTGATTTCAGGAATAAAATCCCAACTTCCAGATTTTTTTGATAAGGAGTTAGCTTCCCCCGAAGAACCCCGTAAGAAGGATAGAGTGCTTTTTGTGGACTACATCCCCATCTCAAAGCCAATTCCAGTTCCAAGATATGGAAGTAAACTCGCTAACCACCACAACTCCGTCCCTTCAGCTCGCAGTTCATGCTCATCTCATAGTTGTGCTAAAATCGTATCAGTGGAAAGCAGCAAGTCTGAAGTGAAGCACCAGGATAATTCACACCAGAAACCTTTTCTGGATGAAAACAGGGCAAGCAACATGGAAGTCTCAGCCCAGTCCCCAACCCAAGAAGACAGTGAGAGGTTAATTGGGCCAACATCATCACTATCACTAAGGAGCTTTCAAGAAGAAGTAAATAGTAGCCTTGAGCCCCAGAAATCAGAATTGACCGCATGTTCAGAAGAGCAAAGCGCTGGGTCTGCACACGCTCCAGTTATAAGCATACCAACAGCAGAATTCGATGTCTCCGAATCTCATAGGGATCCGAGCATGCAGAACCTGTTACCTGTGGGTAATGAAAAGTAGCTTCAACCTCTGAAACGACTGTTGTGTGAAGTGCATAATAAATGTGTACAATAATCACTTCCCCCAAATCTGTTGCCACAATGTAGTCCAAAGGGATTGCAACCAGTGAGGGAGGTATCTTTGTCAATACGTAGGTTTTTTTTTATTATTATTATGAATGATATAGTAGCTTGGCAGTAGAATATCAGATGCACTGAAGCAGCAAATGCCGTGTGCCATCTGATGTTTCGCCAGAGTCTCACAAAATGTGATGTTGCATTGGCATTCCAGTACTCATTTCCACTCTGAGAGGGGACAGTGAAGGCTGTTAAATGGGTTAACCAAAGCTGCCTGGTGAATTCCTAGGTGCATGCTCCATATTACGCCAGTATTGAAAGAGTGTTGCTGGCTACTAGGTGGCATCCAAACTCAGTTCAAGGTCCTGGCCTTTAAAGCTCTAAATGAGGGGTGGGAAACCTCAGCCCAAAGGCCAAATGCAGACCTCCAGCCCTCTATTATCTCAGTGTTGGGACCATGCCCAGGTCATGCACCTCCCAAATGACACACCCTTGATGTTTTTTCATGGCTGGAATGTGTCCTTGGGTGATGTTCTGGACTTGCCAGGATAAAGGTGTGTGTTTGTATGTGTACATAGAGAGACTGCAAACTTCTAAGTGGATCAAATAAGCCTGCATTGTTGTACCCACTGCTCTACCTGCCCCATTTTTGCCTCTAGCCTGCGGTTGGATGAGTTGGCCCCAGGGAGGAATGCAGAAATCAGTGCCTGTCCTGTAGCTTCCTGAAGGAATAATCTAATTTTTTATAACCCAAATGTTCTGGTGTGTGTGTGTGTGTTTGTCCTGTTTTTCACAGAGTTGTAGAGTTGGAAAGGACCATGAAGGGTTCATCTAGTCCAACCCCCTGCAATGCTGGAATATGCAAGTGGCCTGTATGGGGATTGAACCCACAACCTTGGCCTTATCAGCACCACAGTCTCTAAGCAACTGAGCTGGGCCCAAGGGAGTCTGTTCTACTGTTGAAGTTCTTTTTGTTGCACTGTTCAGCATGAGAGTGTCCTTCCAGATAGCACTAACATGTTATTTTGGGGGAAGTATAGCAGAACAACTCGCAAAGTGGAATGTGTGAATGGTTCAGTACAAATCCAACATTAATGTTTTATCATTGCATCAATGACATGTTGCAACCCCCGCCAATCTGGAGCAGTCCCTGAGCTCCAAAAAGATAAAGCTAAAGTAATCCTAGTGAGTGCATATGGAGTGCATTACCACTATGCAGTCATGGAAATTGGTAAAGTAATAGCTATACCTCTTCAATTCGGCATTTAATGCTAGCCACGTAATATGAACCACCTATGTACTTAAGGAAACGCCTGTGGCTCCTTATATGTAAAATGAAACAACTTTTTGAACTTTTATATTAACTGCTGCTAAGCTAGTCTTCCATGTACCTTATAGTTGCATCCTTTATAACGTAATCATATTGGGGGTGGGCGGGCGGCAGTATGGGCATAGCCAGGATTTTGTTGGGGGGCAAACTTCATGTTTGGGGGCTCCCAGGACCGAGTTATCTGCGCCACAATTGGTCTTTTATTTTGGTATTTTTATTTATTTGATGGGGGGGCTGCCCCCTCATGCAGCGCGGCTAGGTAGGTGAAGCGCAGGAAGGAGCTCTATGAATCTACATAGTACGTTTGCGCAAAGGCCCTCTTCTGACACCCCCGACGGACGTGGCCAGCAAGCGTGTTGGCGGCGCTGCACGTGATCCCTTCTCAACACGTGATGAGAGACAAGAGCCTCTAGTTTCCCTGCTACCCTGCCGCCCGCACCTGGACTTCTCACGTGGTGGCGTTAGCCCCGCACTGTGGCTAGTAGCAAAAAATAAGGGCACCCTGTGCGCGCTCGGGGGAAATTCTGTCGCGTGCCTCGCTCGCTCTGTGTCTTAGAACAGGTTCCGACGCGGTGGCTTGGCTGAAGCGACGCCGGCCTTTCCCGGGCAGGGGAACGACTTAGGCGCGCAGGTGGACGCAGCCTACTCTTTCGGGGCTGGGAGAGAACGACCCCCTTGCCGCTCGGAAGAGCAACATGCCGGGCTCGCATGTTGCTGCGTGAGGAACAGAGCCCCGCTGCGCCCCTGGCGCGTCACGGCTTTGCGTGCTCCTCCTCCTGCTGCGCCCTCCCTGCCCGCCGTCGGGCAGCCCCCCTTGGGCCCAGCCTCTCCTGCCTCGCGGCCGCCCGCTCCGCCCCGTCTGACGTTCAGCTTGCAACCATGTCGGCGGCCGCGCGCAGACGTCAGGCTTCTGGCGTGAAGGGAGAAGCCCCCACCGCAGAAGCAGCAGCAGCAGCAGCAGCAGCTCGCGGAGATGAGGAGCCGGGCATGGCGGCGGCGCCCAGCCTCACCGTCTGCCTCAAGCTGCTGGCGGCTGCCTTCTACGGCTTCAGCTCCTTCCTCATCGTCGTGGTCAACAAGAGCGTCCTCACCAGCTACGGGTAAGGGAGGCGGGTGGGAGAGCTCCGGGCAAAGTTCGCCGCCGCCAAGTAGAGGGGCAGCGCCGGCCGGGTTACAGATTAACTCGCGCGGAGAAAGGAGGTGGAGCAGGCCGGCGTGGGCGCTGAGCTGCAGGCGGCCGCGGGGACTCGGCTTTGTGGCTGCTGCTGCTGCTTCTGCAGAGCCAGCTCCCAAGTTGCTTTCGGAGGAGGAACGCTCCACAAGCCTCCATGTTCAGTAGCGCGGGGTGGTGGTGGTGGTGCCTCCCTCTCGCTCTTCCCAACTTCCAGGCACGGGCATTTGCAGTGGGCACAGCGCACGCCTCCGCCCCTCCCCCCCCAAGATACATCTATGAAGGCCGCGTGTAGATACGATGGCTTGATCAGAAGTTGCCAGGCGCCCTCAAACCCCCACCCCCAAAACGGAAAGGGTATTTGGCTTAGAGAGCACAGGGCTGCGATTCTGTACCTGTTCAGCCTGTTGGCTGCATTGAACTCAGCGAGCTTTGCACTGTGTAACCCCATAATTTTCAATAACGCGAATGTTGGGGTTCAGCTTTGCTTCTTCGTGGCACCCAGTTTTAAAGGGTTCACTGGAGCCGTTAAACATTTCCTTCTGCATTTTTTTTTAAAAAATGTCCCTCCTACTGTGTACACTTTGTGTATACGTGTGTTTACTTCCAGAACAGACACGTTAAAAGAGCGACTGATGCTGCCATCTAACTGCTATGCAAATACAGTTCAGTGTGTTAGGACTATGCATGCAAGAGTGTTGGTTGCTGGAGGCAAATGATTTTTTAAATACATTGAGTTCTTGGTTATTACCGTTCCATATATTCGTTATATTTGAGGCAGGAGAGTGAGCCACAAACAACTTTTCCTGCCAAAGGCTAGCCTTTTTCCATTATGTATGACTCGCTGAAGGTTGCCACTGTTTAGTTTAATTTGTCTGCTGTTTGTTACAGATTTCCTTCTTCGCTGTGTGTGGGACTAGGCCAGGTTAGTTGGAAATTTTGAATAAGAAAATTTCTAATTGGGCCGGGAGAGGGAGAGGCAAAATAGTGATCTCTCTTGTTCCTTTCACAGATGTTGGCTACGGTGGTTGTCCTCTGGGTGGGAAAGGCACTCAGGGTGGTGAAGTTTCCAGACTTCGACAGAAATATACCTCGAAAGGTATGATATTTCTCTCATTTACAAAGCCACTGGCAGAAGCGTAGTTGCCCATAATGGGGAAGAGTGGTCTAAATTGTTCTGGTGTATGTATATTCTGTAGAAAGAATGCAAGATAGAACAACTTTCAAGGAAGGCATCAAAATGCATCAGTACAAGTACTGCTTGCTGCTCATGACAAATTAGAAAACTGTTTTAAAAGTGCTGTTAGCTCATTGCAATGCATTTTTATTTTCCTTTTGCACAGGATTCATTTATTATGGGCAGCTGTGAATCTGCAGCAAAGAAGGCAGATTCCACTGGGTCTAACTGACTTGTTGTAGTATGACTTTCCAGAGTTGCTATCTTACTTTGGGTGAAAGAATCTGATAGATGTAATTATAGATGCTAATCTGTAGAGGTCAGATAAACAAGCAAACAAAATGATTTGGCACAAATGCTGAAATGGTTTCTGATTCATGTGATGTTAAGGTAACAGGGCTAAATTTGTTGATGAGAATTGAGTCAGTGCAGCCGTGTACAGCGAGAGAGGGCTGAACCTTTTCTAGTAGTGCTGCAGTCCTCAAAAAACCACACAGACCCTGGAGCTGCTTGTTGTTTGCTATGGGGGAGAGGCCCCTGTTGGAGCCACCCTCATTCCCTGTGCATCACAAAGACTACCTTCCCATCATGCATTTAATATAATGTTTGATTTGGCCTTCATAGGTATGTTCTGCTAGAGTTGAAGGGTTTTATTCCCAGTTAAGAATGCCACACGGTACAATCCTATGCAAGCTATTTATTTATTTCCCACCTTTTTGCCTATCAGGGACAGATAAAATACGAACAGCTAAAAATATAGGTGGGGGGGGAGAGATAATTAAAAAAAAACAATTAAATATTAATAGAATTAAGATCTATTAAAAATGCACAAATCATTACAATCAAAGCAGCACAGCACTATCCCTTTCATTAAAAGCAGTTAGTTCTCAAAAGCCCTACACTTGCAGAGGGGAAGACAACAAGGAAGGAGCCAATGTAGCTTCTCTAGGGAGGGAGTTCCAAAATCTGGGAGCAGCCACTGAGAAGGCTCTCTCCCGCTACCTGTGAGAGTCGCAGAACTGAGAGAAGCAGTTCCTTCAGAACCTAGGCAGGTTTGTATGAGGAAAAACTGTCTTTCAAAAAGCCTGGACGTAAGCCATGTAGGGCTTCATAGGTCATAACCACCAATTTGCCTTGTGCCTAGAAAGAAACCGGTAGTGGCTGTTGTGGCAAAGGGAGCCGTATGCTCCTTATAACCCGCCCCTGGTCAAGAATCTGGTTGCAGCTCCTGGAGCCAGTTGAAATTTCAGAGGGTTTTTCAAAGGCAGCCCCACATCGTGCGTCACTGTAGCCAAATCAGACATCTCAAGGAACGGGTGCCGCTAACGTGATAGCTTTAATTGTGCAGGTGCAAAATTTGCAGTCACAGTGACGTGGGCATCCGTGCTCAGGGCTGGGTCCAGAAGCACACCCAGACTATGAACCTGTGTCTTCAGGGGGAGTGTTATCCCATCCAGTACAGGCTGAATCCCTACTCTCTGTTCTGCCTTCCGACTGACCCCAAGAGCCCCTCTGCCTTGCCTGGATTAACTTTCAGCTTCTTCCTCCTCCTCCAGTCCAGAAGGAATCAAGCCACTATAAAACAGGCATTGACCACTCCCTTCATCTTCTAAGCCAGTCCCTCGCTGGCCTTTTCAATGAACCAGGAAGAGCAAGGATCTGGCACACATTCCAAGGATCCTGTCCAGGTCCATGAGCTGCACAAGCTGGAAAAAATATCCACTAACACTGGACAAGCAAGGGCCAAAGTTACACCCACCAGACTTGTATCCGCTTATTTAGAAGGGAGTCATTTAAATCCAAAGGGACTTGCCTCTTAGAGTAATTGCCTGCGGAATATATGTCCATGTTTATATTATTTCTGAAGGTCCCCCCAATTACGCTTTCTGAGGTTGTATTTAAGCATGATTGGGCGTGTAAAAGAAACATCGCCATGTGGAGCATCATGCTTAAAAGAACGCCAATTTATACAAGTCTAGTTTACCATGAATTCCTGGTGTGCCGCTGCTGTACATGTACGGATCAATGACCTATTTAACATAGCATTAGCTGTCTTTATACATCTGCATACACTTGTTCCTCTTCCCATGCCCACTCTCTTGGTGTAACTTGGAAGACTGAATGTCTGATGTGACAGAAGATGTTATGTTTGTGTTTCCAGAATTCTACCCAGTCTTGAGAAAAAGGAAGGATGTGTGTTGCTGGTGTTGTAAGTCAGAATGTGAAACCATAAATGCAAAAGCTTTTATGCTACAGTTGAAGCATGATTGTGCATTTCCTAAGGCTTGCTATGTTGTGTGCCTGCTGGTGAAAACTGTTCCTGTTGCAAAAAACAAAACAAAAAACAGCAACAACAAAACTGTGCAAATGTTTTGAAAGGTTACACAGCCAACTGACTTGACCTGTTTATTGAATATTATTTTATCCCTCTTGCAACTTTCTAGACTTTTCCACTACCTCTCCTGTATTTCGGGAACCAAATCACAGGACTGTTCAGCACAAAGAAATTGAAGTATGGATAATAAGATATGATTTTATTAAGATTTTATTTCTAAAAAATTATTGAGCTTTTATTAAAATGTAATCTGAATTCTGGTTGGTCTGTACGTAAATTTGATGGGGCTTTTTGATTACTTCAAATTTAGTGAATGAAAATTGTGTAGAACATTTGTTTATAATTTATTTCTATGTTTCAGTATACCATAATTCTCATATCTGGTGTCTTGTCGCAGCTATAGATAACAAAACAATTGGCATTAATATATAACATAATTCAGCTATGCATATTTGGTAATAAATAATTTACAAGGACATAATAAGTAATCACCAAGTCATTTAATCAGCTCTTTCAGATTCTCTGTAAATCATAAAAAACAACAACCCCAGATTACCCAAAAGGGGTGGGGTGGGGCTTCAGCTGGTTTTCTGCTCTCTCTCCCAGCACATCCTTAGTTACTCAGGTGAGTTCTGTTGAGTTTAATGAGGCTAATTCCCAGGTGAGTGGGTATAGAATTATAGCCTTAAGATGCTTTTCAGTAGAGACCTGTTGGTTCAGTATTTTAAAAAGCAACATTGAAAACATTGAGATAAGTTTCTTGTTACTGCATAAATATGTTAAGAGCTGTGGAATATCAAATGCCAAGGCCTACTATCCTCCCTAGTTATAATTATAATTATAATAATAATAAAAATACCACCCTTCATCCGTAGATCTCAAGGCTATTTACAACATAAAAATACAAGATTAAAACCCAAAATACATTATTATTTTTTAAAAAACACACCAATGACTCCCTCTCCCTCCACAAACATATTTAAAAGTGTATAGGAAGTTAATCAGCCAAAATCCTGGTTGAAGAGGAATGTTTTTGCCTGGCGCCTAAAGGTGTATAATGAACCTCCCTGGGGAGAACCACCCACAAATGGGGAGCCACCGCAGAAAAGGCCTGTTCTCATGTTGCCAACCGCAACCTGCCATGGAGGAGGCACATGAAGAAAGGCCTCAGATGATGATTGCAGGGTCCGGGTCGGTTCATATGGAAAGAGGGAGTTCATGAGGTATTACGGTCCTGAGTCATTTAGGGCTTTATTGGTCAAAACCAGCCTTTTGAATTGGGCCTGGAAACTTATTGGCAGCCATTTAGGACTTTTGTTTATTAAAACATTTTCAGCCTGTCTCTTGTCTTCAAGCTGGCTCATATTCTATAAATAATTTTTAAAACGAAGTATTTCAGACCAATAAACATAAAATACGGTGAAACCTCAGATAATACTGATCAAATTAAAAAGGAAGCAATTCCTCAGATACTCTGGTTCCAAACCCTTTAGGGATTTAAAAGTGAAAACTAGTCCAGAAATAGACTAGCAGTCTATAACAAAGGAGTTTTATGCTTCTGGTGATTGGCTTCAACCCAAAGCCTTGCAGCTGCTTTTAAGTCCCTCTGAACCTTCCAGACAAACGCCTGGTTTGCATGTCTCACTAAGTCATAGTTTGGCTGAGGAAGACATGTGAACCAGGCCACTATCCAAGCAGTTAGTGTGCTACAGAAACTTTAGTGCATGCTAGATCCAGCTGGACCAAAGGTACTCCTGGCCACAGCTACATCCTGGAGTAAGGCTTTGTCCAGGAGCACTTCCAAGCCTGTGAACCCTTCTTCAAGGGCAGTGTTGTCCCATTCAGAATAGATTGTATCCCCATTTCCATATCAGTGGTTCTGCTAACCCTGAATGCTTTTGTCGTGTCTGGATTAAGCTTCCATTTGCTCACTCTTACTTGAGCTTCCCGACAATGGTTCAGAACCTCCATGAACTTCCCTGGATTCAATTGGAATGGAGAGAGGGAGAGAGAGAGAGAGAGAGAGAGCTGTGTCATTTGAACACAACAGACTGGTAAGCTGCAGGTGACCTTTCCTGATGCTGCCATGCAGATTTTAAACACAGCATGTTCTTAGATACAAGTCTATGCACTTGAGTGTAGATCCACAGGGCACACCACAGGACCTGTCTCCAAATTAAGCACATGCAATGTCAGGCATCTCCTTTTTGCTCTCCACCGCTTGTGTGCTACCTGTTTTCCTGGCTAGGCAAGACATGTACAGTTAAGACTGTATACCAAAGTATATAGAGATGAAAACAATTTGTGTATATAAAATTTACTGTTAGGTAGTAACGTTAGGGTAATGGAATTTGCATTTCCATGCCATATAATTTGTTTGTAGATCTTATGAAGCTGCTGAATAAGACATTATTATATAATAGCCTTTCAACAAATGATTTCTCTCTGCATCCTAGTGCAGATGTGGGCAGGTACTTGGTTTGGTAACCAGCCTGGACTGGTGGTTAAATATAACCTTAAATGTAGGGTCTTGTAACTTGAGATCCCAACTCATTTCAAGGGCATGAGCTGGAAGAGAGAGTGTGCACTTATAAATAGCTTTTCTGCGCACAGTTTCCAAACTTCAAAATAGCTAATACAGTTGGGCTGCACTTGGGTGTAAAACAAAACTGTTAAATTTTGAAGAATTGCATTTTCTAGCCTGTTTTCCCCGCTTCTGACAAACGTTGGAGACAGTCTTTTTAAAAAATAAAATAAAATAAATCACCTGTGACTTTCCCCTAGGGACATCTGTTCTCATTCACCACACCATGTGCTTTGATGTTGAAATTTATCCGGAGTAAATTTAAAATGTCTCTGTATAAACATAAGGAGTATCTATATGGCTAGCTCTGTCCATAAACATTATTTCTCTTACAGCCTGCCAATGTTTACAGTCCTGAGACGGTTTTCCATTCTGTTTACAATGTTTGCAGAAGGCATTCTACTCAAGTGAGTTGTGAGATGGTACAGTACTGTGTTGCTTCATGTGTTTGTGTCATATGGGTGGATACAGCCAATGGCAGTGCCATTATATTTCCCTTGGGTTATGCAGTCAAGCCCCCTTTGTAGTTCTTGGGGTTGAACAAAGGAAATATTTCAAGCACATGGGACTCCACATTTGTATAGGAAGGCACTGATCAATCTCCAGTACTGGAGATACAATGCTGAGAATCCCACATATGATGTGGGCTTTGTCCAGTGATGTCTTCTTTTTGGTCTGAAGTTGTTATCTGCATCAGTTTTGCATTGGTGAAATCCTTCATACTGCCAGATGCTTATGTATTTTTCAATTATACTCCTGTAGTATGAGGATTAACAGCAGGACAACAAAAGTGGATTTTGTGAGCCCTTATGGTTGCTAAGAGACATACTTGGAGCCCTGAAGGACCAATGTCTGTTTTCCACTGTTTTGAAGACCTCACTGCCCTGGCTACATTTGAATATATTTCATATAGACATAAATATTGTTTAGATGACTATTTGGTCATCGGGGGGGGGGCGGGTTATAATAATTTATTTAACTTAAGAAACAGGTACTGATAGTTACTGTATCTGTAACATGAACTGATAGTGAGTTTTTTGTTTTGTTACTCTTGGTGTTCATATATTTCTTCCTTGCTTTTCTTTGCTAAATTTTCATATGAAAAGTTAATTAAAAGAATACTGTCAAGTGCCATGGGTCTACAAGCTTAGGACAGACTTCTTAATGTGTACCAGTGACTCCATTCTCAAGTCCATTTTGCATACAGGGGAACTTGGAGAAAGAAATTTCTAAGAGCATGCTGAGCTTTGTGCCAAACTTCAACATTACAAGAAAACCCTCTTCTCCTTTGGAAAATGGCAGGATGGGTGCAGAATAGGGCTGGGCAATAATCAGCTTTCCAACATTGCAGTGTGTCGCCAGCCAAACATTGTGGTTTAGTGATACATCGCAATGTTGAAAAGTGGAGGGAGGATGAAATTCTATTGGCCCGGCCCCGCAAGGCGCCAGGTGAAACTGCTTCAGCTCCCTTGGTCGCAGCAGCAGCAGCAGTTTCACTCTGGAGCCTCATGGGGCTGGGCCCAATGGAGCCTGTTCTTTCCTCGGCACTCCATTCGCCACTAAAGCAAGTTCTTGCTTTAGCTCTACAACCTCTGACAGCCAACCATGTTTTTTGCTGTTGGCTTAGTGTTTTCTCTCATGCTTTGAAACCCTAGGAATTCTTAAATTTCGTTGTATCGTAGACCACTGTTTTTTATTGTTGTTTGCAGGTCACTAATTTCTTATGTGACAGTAATTGCATAGGAGAATACTTAAGGACAGCTGTAAACTGGAGAGGGAGGAGGAGAGATAAATGAAAGTCTTAGGTACATGTGTTTGGGCCTCCCTCCGCCCAGCTGCATCCACAAACACAGACGTCGATTGGGTTTGACGTAAACAGAAAACCCTGGCTTTTTAGCATTTTCCTTCAATGTTTCCATCATGATCTCTTGAAAGCTTATTGTGGGCCACAGTTTTAAGAACGCTGCAAGAACACCAGCTGCAATAATGAGAAAGCTCTCCCATTTTTATCTTCTTAGGAAGAAATTTTCTTGGAGAATTCAGATGACAGTATTTGCAATGATAATTGGTGCATTTGTAGCTGCAAGGTACGGTATACCATTATTAAAAGGAGCTTGAATATTGTTCAGGTTTTTTATGAGCTTGTTCCTCAACTAGATTCTTAAAATATTCTGGTTAGCTGTTGGAAAGGTGAATAGAAATTCAGTTGAAGCCCTGGAAGGAAAGAGCTAAGGCAATATACAATTGTCTGAAGTATAAATTAATGGACTAGAATAATTTGAAGTTTTTGTTGAATATGAAGGCTTCCCTGGCAGGCAGTTCTGAAGCAGAGCTAGAAATGCCTGGAAGTGTCTAAAGTGGCCCCTAAGGTTTTGCACTCAGGAGACCAATACAGGAGAGACCTGTTTTGTTGCAGCTGGAGAAGATGAAGGTGTCTGGCTGTGTTGCTGCAGATGCACCATGGCGTTTCTTCTCTTCACTCCTCCCAGCAGTCATTCCTCCTGGTCAAAACCTGTCTGTCTCCAGGCACTGCAGGCATTCCTACACTGCGGAGTCGTGTTGCAGACATCTTTGTATCACAGAGTTGGTCTGCCAGCGGGACTGGTGCCTGAAGCCAGCTCCCCATAGAGCACATCCTTGGGGATCCTGACATCTACACCTGTAGATGGGTGGATCAGTGCCACCATAAATGGCAGGATTGATCATGCATATACTGAATGCAGTGGGGTCTTCCCTTGTGCAGCATCCTCTTGTGGGATCTAATCTGCAAATGTGATCCTTGTACAGAATCCTGCTCTGCTTGCAGATTGCAGTTGTTCAGTAATTATCATGATTATGTTTTCTCTTTGACTTTAAATATTACCTTCTCTGCCCCTAGTTCTGATCTGGCATTTGATCTGGAAGGCTATGTGTTTATCTTGATTAATGATGTCTTGACAGCTGCCAACGGTGCATATGTAAAACAGAAACTAGATTCCAAGGTAGGTTCATCTTGCTACTTCATTTTAAAACAGCTTTCCTCTTTATTGATCAGTAAAGGATGAATGAGTTACTGCTTTCTTAGGGGGAAATACTCATTTTTCAACAATGTGGCTGTCCTGTCCTATATATTATTATTTTTCATTTTGCTCTGCTGCTGCACAAACATCTGTAACACCATGTACATATTATTCTAACAATTTGCAAGTGTTTAGGATAGCGCACACAAGTAAACATAGGCCAGAATTAAGCCCACAAGAAACATACTGTATTGGACCAAAGCCTATTCAAATAGGGAATTTAATTTATGCTGGTGGTCGGGGTTTGTTTTATTTTGTATCATATTCATAAAACTAGAATCATTCTAACATTGTGTTCTATGACACCATGACGTCTTGGGGCATGAAACTATTTCACACCAATATTAAATGATCAGACTGCCAAAGGGGCTTGAAGTTAATGCATGTAATCTGGTTCGCTTGTACTGAGATAAAAGTATTTATTTTATGATTATGTCATGAAACTTACTGTGCCAATAGATGAGAGCCAGGATGGAAAATATAAACAGTTAGACCAGTACAGTAATGAAAAATGCAATTGTTTATTAATGTTACGACAGCCTGCCAGTAACACATATGTTTAGGATAAAGTTATTAGGTTAGCTACATTATGTACTAGTTAAAGAAAGTCTGTGGATCAGTACAGATATAATGCTGCCTTCCTTTTAACTTTGGCTAGTCGACCAAGAAGCCAGCCTTGGCTCCCTCTATTACAGTTTGTAAATCAAGAGCCAGACTTGGGAATGTTTGTTCCTTCACCCTAAATCACAATGAAGCAGAGTGTTTGCATCAGTGCTATCTGTGGTTAAGACCTTAATAACCCCAGTAGTTTCAAGCTCTGTATTTAAAGGGTGGGTGTCAACTTGCTCTAGAGAGGAGGCGCTTCATGAATAACAATATACATTCCCAAGGCAGGCTCCCAACTTACTATGTTTCGCAGAGTTTAAGTATTGCAGCTGTACCAGGCCAATGATTTTTTGGGGGCGGAGGGTTTGTATAAAAATTGTATTTGTGCTTATGGTCTCTCTTTTATATCCATTGATAGGTAGGGTAAACAGTAAAGTATATATGCTTTAATAGCTATTTGGGTGTTTTTTAAAAATCATTTCATATACTTTTGATTTAAAGTAGATGTTATCTTTAAGAAATAGAAAACAAGTTTTGCCAGCTATATTATTTGTATCATTGCTGATTTGCACCATGGAGAAACATGAAGCTGATTTGTGTCTCAAGGACTCAGACAGGATGCTACATTTATAATGCTTGTAGGAGATGACGGATGAGGTCTTGGTTTGTGAACTTCTCTGTGTACGGATTTATCATTCAGCCAAAATAAGTACATAACTGTTTTTTCCATTTCCAGGAGCTGGGAAAATACGGCCTTCTATATTACAATGCACTGTTTATGATTCTCCCCACCTTGGCCATTGCTTATTTTACAGGAGATGCGCAAAAGGTAAGCCTTCAGTTTTTATTCCAGAATGGCAGCTCTAATTGAAAACTATATTGCTTGTGTCCATATGTCAGTAATTGTGAAATACAGTTTTGTGGGCTTTTTTTAAAAAATGCAGTTTATGGTGTTGTGTACTAGGATGTCTAAATATGTTACCGTTTAGTTTTAATTCAGAACAATTTAAAAAATCTTGGCATTTGTCATGACTGCAAGTAAAAAAGTGCACAATTTCAAAGGTATATGTGGAAGGGAAACTTACCTATAAAACTCTGAGACTGAGGAAGCAATTGAGAAAGGCCCACTTATATTGCCTTTGGTTTCAGTGGGATGATACTAGTATGTGAATTGTCCCTGGGAAGCCAGTAAGTTATCTGCCATTGCCATTTTCCTTAGCAGCGACCACTAAATAATCCATAGCAATGTTAAGAGTCGATGCAGGAATTGCAGTGGCAGTGCCTAGCATTTACACAACTTCTGTAATGTGTGTGAGCAGTTGGGGCAACAATATTTGCAGATACTGTGGCTGCGCAGCCAGTGCTCTGCAAGGTCCATGCTACAGTCGGTTGCAGCATCTGTGGAGCTCTTCCTTGTCCTCTTGGTATAGGTTACTCCAGTGTTTCCCAACCGGTGTTCCGCGGCACACTAGTGTGCCGCGAGACGTTGCCTGGTGTGCCGCGAGATGTTGCCTGGAGGGAGGCGGGCGAGTCGGGCGGCGAGAGGCGGGGCGGCGGCGGCGAGGAGAGGCCGCCCAGCGCGGGGCTCTCGCCGTCTGCCTGCCTGGCTGCCTGCGTGGCGCTGACGTCACGGGGCTGTAACGTGCCCCACATAGGCACACGCGGGGCGGCGAGCGAGCTCCCTCCCACATCCCATCGCCGCTCGCTTCGGCCGGCCTACTGGGCTGTCGCAGGCGGAAGGCCTGCGCATGCGCGAGGTTTTCGCGCCTTCGGGATTCCCTTCATGCCTTCCTCCTCCCGGGTCCTTGAGAGCGCGGGAAGCGGCAGCGCGAGACCGGCGTTGAGCCTGGTAGGTATTGCGCTTGCCAAGGCAGTCATTTGGGAAATGAAAACTTGCAAAGCAAGCAACCAGTTCAATCTGAAGTACGTGTATGCTTAATATCCTGATCTGGAAACTGTTCTGCCCCCTCCCCCACACTCCGGTGCCATTTTCATCTACACATGGCAGAGTAAGTTGACCCAGGAATAGGTACCAATTCAGATGGCGATGGGAGAATGACAGTGTGAATGCTTTCCCATGTAGAAGCAGTCCCTGCAAATAAAAACCGTAGCATATTTGGAAGAGGGATGCTAGCCCTAACCCATTACCTTCTTTGCTGTACTATTTTTTTTTTTTTTTACATAAGTAAAAAGTGACCCTTCCCCATCTAGGATGGTGGTGTGCCTGCGGAAATTTTTTTCATGAAACAAGATAGTGCCTTGCCCAAAAAGGTGGGAAACACTGGGTACTCCACCAGGCAGTTTCTGTGCCATGAAGGCCAGCCATGGAATGGGATCTAAAGAGTTTCATCCAAAATGCCTGCAGCTACCCAGGAGTCACCCACTCAGCAACTTGCTTGAGAAGTGAATGTTCATTCTTGGCCAATTATTACTACAAATCCTTGTTGTCTAGAGAGGCCTTCTTTAGGAGTGGCCTTTTAATTGCCATTTTCAGTACAGACAGGGCCATTTCCTCTCCCAAGAAGGCATTTATTGCCTTGGGACCCAGGCAGCCAACCCAAGCGATAAGCAGACACCTGAGATGCTCTGCCCACATCCTCAGGTTGCCAGAGCTGAAACTCCACCAGCAAAACGATGACTAAACCGTGCTTTGGGCACAATACTGTGTTACTATGACCTATTTACTACTTTAAATTTGTAGCAAATATGTCACAGCATGCCTCTAAGGAATTCTTCACATCACTGTGAGGGAAAATTGGAGTAAACCCAGAACACCTATGTTGTGTCATATATCAGGATATATGTAGCTGAAATATGAACAAGTCTATCTTCAAGAGAACCACAGGGTTTTGTGAAAGAAGGTAATTTGTAGAGAACTGGTTCCCATATTTCTTCCATGTGTTAACAGGGGGGCAGAAGGTGTTGAACTTCCAGATCTACAGGTGCCTTTTTGGAGAGACTTCTTGACTTAGCTTGACAAGATGTATGCTTGATTAACTAATATCCATAAAGTTTCTGATAGGAACCATTAGTTCACCAATATCCAGTAGGCTACGGTTTCCCCATACCCTGCTATAAACAACCATGGATACAGTATTTGATACTAAACACTTGCATTGGTCACAGCTAAAGAGTGGACTGAATAATTACAATTATATTTCAAATCCTTCCAGGGTGGCTTACAAAAAAAGGCCCACTAAGCTGCTATATTTTTGGGGGGGGGGGAGAAAGCACAACAATATCAAAAGACACATCCTGCCATCAGGATCCTTCCCACTGGAGAGTTGATGGGAAGGAAACAGTCCAGCTGGAGTGTGCCCTGATGCCCTGTTTACCTGCATCCCTCTCACCTGGAATTGTTTCCTCTGGACGGTTGATGATAGATCCCCTGTGACAGTGGGAAGGGGAGAGTGCAGCTGGAGCAGGCTCCAATGTGGTCTTTGCCTGCCTCCCTCTCTCCTGGAATCCTTCCTCACGTTGCATTTTAAGAACCTCCCCTTGAGATAGAAAATAGCATCTCAGTGTTTATATATTTCTGGGAGGGGGGAAAAGTATTCATTTAGAAATATGTGCACCAATTAAGTGAGGAGGAGAATACCAGCACTGTTCTAGACTCTGCAGTTTGCATTCACAGTATGTGTAACTATCTTAAGCTACTAATTTTTGGGTAAACTTTCTTCTCCCCTGGCAAGCTCTTGGCAGTTAAGGTGAACAAAGTCTGCTCTGTTAAACATCCAGGAAGCTCAACATTCACAGAGCTGGGAAATCATTGGCTTTGTCGTAGATACATATTTCTAAGGCCATGGCTCTGCTTTTTACACACGGCACCATCCCCTCTTAATCCAAGTTGATAAACTTGATAAAGTTAAATACAAGCCAAGAGAATTAGAATTTGCGCCAACACTTGGCAGTTTAGTTCCTTTAAAATCTGTCTAGTTCCAATCATAGAGCACTTGTGGGTAAATTTATCATCCAGCTATTAAAGCACTGGAAAAGTACATCTATGACACTTACTGTTTACACCAGCAGAACCCAGCAATAAGTTCTGTTACTTGATCATAACACATAGCTATTTCATATAAAGACCCCGTGTCTTGGTTTGGATGTCAAAAGGGAGAGGTTCTACAGAATTATTACCAGCTGTTTTCCTACAAAGGATTGCTTATCTCATATGTGGTTATGGGTCAAGCAAGGTTGTCTCTCATTCCTGCTGTTGCTTTTCTCTTCTGATTTTAGCAAGCTCTGAAAATGTTGGGAAAGAGTGCCACAAAGATACCCTTTAATTGATTTTACTACACATTTTAGTTGGACCTTTTGAGATATACTTTAGGGCTGTTGTCTCTTGCTGTTAATACTTTTTGGGGTTCTTTATGCTAATTCTCTAAGGTATATCAAATAGCTGATGACTGAAAACAGTTTTATATTAAAAAAAGGTCTGACCTTGGGGACACAACCAAGTCTTTATTGACAGGGGACCTCTGTGGGTGCCAAATATTTGTGTGTACATAGACCACAAAGTGATGTAGAACTTACCCAGGATTTTCGCTATTGCTGGATTGTTCACATGCTACTGGTAGTCATTTGGCTGTGCACTTGTGATGCTGCCAGTAATATTATTCGTAATGATCACTGTCTTTGTAAGCTTTCATATACATTATTATAGCTAATTGTATACTTACAAATGTCTCTTTTGATGCCAAAAAGGCCAAGAAGAATAGGTCAGTTCTGAGATGGGAAATTAATGGAGTGATCTGACCTGCTTCTAGCACTACGCTTTGCTGTAGATTTCTAAATTCCAGCAGTTGAGTGTTGCTGCATTTAGTTTAAGCATGGGTACAGTTTGTGCAGTACGTTGCAGGTTGTCTTTGGAAATCTGAAGGTAGTGCTGGGTTTGAGCTGGTGCATTTTGCAACTTCCTCTTTGTAGCCAACTGATAAACTGGTAGGCTTATATGTCTGTGTGTCAAATGTTTCTAGTCTAGATTCAACAGCAATTTTTCCTCATTTTTAAAGCAGCTGATTAGTGTCAAAACCAGTATTTAATTTCTTTGAACATTTTTCTTCTGAAATGTTCATTATGTTATTTCTTTAATATAATCTTCTAATAAGTGGGAGGCATAGTTAAGGTGTATGCTGCAGAAATGATAACCGTTTTGCAGTGTTCAGGCTTCAACATTGTATTTTCACATCATTTGCTTCTGCTAACAGGGAGTGTATTCTAGTATTGGTAGAATATGCAAGGTGCCCACCCCACCCCCCAAACTGCAGCCACATACAGTGGTACCTCAGGTTACAAACACTTCGGGGTATAGACTCCGCTAACCCAGAAGTAGTACCTCGGGTTAAGAGCTTTACCGCAGGATGAGAACAGAAATTGCACGCTGGTGGTGCGGCGGCAGTGGGAGGCCCCATTAGCTAAAGTGGTACCTCAGGTTAAGAACGGACCTCCAAAACGAATTAAGTTCGTAACCAGAGGTACCACTGTATACTTCTTCCTCCAACTCTCAAGTACACATACACAGGGCATACTTGAGCATTACCACAGACACACTGAGAAAACCCCCAATCCCTAACCCCAGGTACACAAGAGCCCCACAACCTGCTGCCTAGCTCATGATCCCTTTGAAACACGTGATTATTCAGTGGAGATGCTAAGGACAGACGTAGAGTGCTTAAAAAAGCTAGGCCAAAGATGAGACTGTTGGTGTAGGTTCCCCCTTTAATATGACAGTCATTTGGAATACTTGCAGATTGGCTCATTTGAGTAATTTCATGTGTAATTTTAAAGACATTACATAATTGAGGATACGGTTTGTGAATGCTGCCTGATGAGGTCTTTGGCATACAGATATGGGATTGGGCACATTTACAAAAATGGACATGTGTTGGCAAAGTGTATGTGAAAATATTGTACTGCCCCATTTTCTATTGCTCCAATATCCCTTTTTACCCCCTTTCTTTATGCCAGATTTATTTGTTCAATTGTAAGTTTCTTTTGTAAGGTTCCCCTTTCCGCTCTATTAAATTATGGGGATATGGAGATTTACTGCATGAGGCTGCTCGTCACGGGCTGCTATTCTCTTGCGTTGGGACTGCCCCCCCCCCCCGCTCCTTACAAAAGAGACCAGGAAACTCCTCTTCGATGCTGCTGCTTCTATGCTGACCCTAAGACTCCCTCTTGGGGGGACATGTAGCCTTCGCGTCTCCCGCCTCAAAGCCCGTTAGCGATCAAGCCCTTCTGAGCTCATGCCATGTTCCGTCCTGCGGCAAACCGGAAGCCAGTGTTGGTTCAGCACTTCTGCAATTTTAGCTTTTCTGCTAAGATACTGTCTTTGTTTTGCTTCTAGGCAATGGAATACAAAGGCTGGTCAGACAAACTTTTCCTTATACAGTTTACACTGTCATGTGTAATGGGGTAAGGATACTTGCCTTTTTTTCTCCTAAGAGACACTGTATTCTTACAACTATGCATAGCTGCTTTCGGTCAGTAACAGCAGGCTAGCCACACCAGCTGAAAAGAAATATGCAGACTATGCATATCCCTCTGGGCTGAGAGTCTGAATGCTGCTACTATGCTGTACATGTGGACTCCAGGCATATGAGGGCTTGAGGGTATGTTGCACTTAACTCATTCGCCAATCTAGGTATTTGTAGTTGAACATTCTTTGCCAGAATCTCAGAAACCAGCAGGCACCAGAAATTGTTCAGTATACCACTTTTTGCCCAGCTTGGTACTATTTTACATGTTTTTTTAATTTTTCTTCTCTGTAGGTTTATTTTGATGTATTCCACAGTACTTTGTACTCAGTATAATTCTGCCCTTACAACTACAATAGTTGGTTGTATTAAGGTAAGCTCTTCAGACTTACACATCTACACAAATAATTTCTAATACTCCATGTTAGTTGTTTGGGATCTGTTGTGCCATACTGGTCTTGGTGCATCATAGGGAAGGAAGGGTAAATGATAGCTTTGAAAATGTTTTGTTGCCTCAAATCGGGTATGTAGAAGAGCCGGTGCTCTGACTTGGAAGGTTTGGGCTATGCAAGAGAGAATGGTGTTTATGGGAAGATGAAGTGTGAATACAAACACTGTCATTTGCACTTTGTGCCACCTTTTGTAGAGCCCCTATTTACTTTCAGTAGAATATTCTGCTAGCTCTTTCAGTGCAAGGCTTAAGACCTGTCTGTAACATTTTCCCCATGTTAGCATCTCACAAATGTTGATAAAGCAACAGAAAACTGTCTGAACCTCTTTGTTTCCTTTCCAGAATATTTTAATAACCTACATAGGAATGTTCTTCGGAGGGGATTATATTTTCACATGGACAAACTTTGTAGGGCTAAATATCAGGTAAGTGCAAAACTGTTGGGGAGCTCACAAGTGGCAGTTATACAACAAATGTTGTAATCTCATATCCACATACCTGGAACTAAGCATCATTGAAATCAATATGACTTCTGTATAGAAAAGCATATACAGTGGTGCCCCGCAAGACGAATGCCTCGCAAGACGAAAAACTCGCTAGACGAAAGGGTTTTCCATTTTTTGAGTTGTTCCGCAAGACGAATTTCCCTATGGGCTTGCTTCGCAAGATGAAACGTCTTGCGAGTTTGTTTCCTTTTTCTTAAAGCCGCTAAGCCACTAATAGCCGTGCTTCGCAAGACGAAAAAACCGCAAGACGAAGAGACTCGCGGAACGGATTAATTTTATCTTGCGAGGCACCACTGTAGTTTTGTACTGAAAGTGTCTTGAAATAAAAATAAGGATTTCTGGGACTGCAGTTTAGAGGAAAAAATGAAACTATCTCATACAATTAGAGGACATTTCTTAATACACATATTAGGGTAGGATAAGCACACCTTGATTCATAAAGAGTGTGTCTGGCTCCTTCCGGGTTAATTCACTAACAAATGATAAAGGAAGAAGCTGTCACTTCCCACAGGAAAAGTTTTGGCTGCCTGGAGCATTTGACTGCTCCACTGACAACTGTTTCACTAGTTACCGTATTTTTCGTCCCATAGGACGCTCCGTCCCAAAGGACGCACCTAGTTTTTTTGGGGGGAAATTTTTCTTTATTTCCCCCCCAAAGCAGGTCGGGGAAACCAAACCAGGTCGGGGAACAGCGGGATGGCAGCGCTGCGCCTCCCTGCTGTCCCCCGAGCTTGTGGGGCTGGCTGATGTCTGCCCGGCGCAAGGGGCGCTCTGCTTCAGGGCGCCCCACCCGCCGGGTGGCAGGCTGCTATCCGCAGCGTGGGGAGCCCTGCGGGGACCTCCCGCAGGGCTGCCTAGGCTGCGGATGTCTTCCTGAAGCCTGGAGAGCGAGAGGGGTCGGTGCGCACCGACCCCTCTTGCTCTCCAAGCTTCAGCGAAGGCTTGCATTCGCCCCATAGGACGCACCCAGATTTCCCCTTCATTTTTGGAGGGGGAAAAGTGCGTCCTATAGGGCGAAAAATGCGGTACTTGACTTCTGTACTAATGCTAAATTCCTTCCTGCGTATATGTTTCCCAGTACATTTTGCCTTCGCAGAGATTACCTGGTCTTTGACCATAGTTAAACAGTTGCCTTTTTTTCGGGGGGTGGGGGCGGACAGGAGAGTAATACTTGACAGCTATAGATGCCTTTAGGAACATTAGTGATGTGGTGTGTGTGTGTGTCAACCAATCAAAGATTAAGCCTACAGTCACTGTAACAGTTGTCTACGTATATTTATGTGTGTGATGATTAAAGTACTCATGGCAGGGGCGGGGGGGGGGGGGAGCTGGAAAAGCAATGCAGTATAGTATTTATAGTATCAACTTTCACTGAGAGTCATAGGCCAGGGGGATTGTCCAGGACTGGTATGAGGGGCAGAATGCAATATTACAGGTGAAACAGATGCCGCTCCTGAGTCCCTGCTACCGGTGCTGCTTTCAATAATATCAGGCCATTGGCAGCAGAGGGACTTGGCGGCGGCCTCACCTGTGAAACTGCTGGGTGAAGCCATCACACTCTGCCTCTCATACCACAAAGGGTGAAACAAACTACATCGGGGGGGGGGACGCTCCTCAGTGGAGCCCCTGCCTCTGGTTCACATGACTGCCCCTCAGCTGAGCAAGCCCCGATGCCTTGCATGCAAGCCAGAGAAGTATCAGGGCTTGCTCAGCTGGGGGGTGAGAGTCCTCATGCCCCTCAGCTGAGCAGTGTGCAAGGAAGCCCCAATGCTCCTCTGGTTCACATGCCAGCTGGAAAGGCATCGGGCTTGCTCACCGTAGGGCTGGGCAATGTATCTTGGCTGTTGCTTCTTCCCCTGACATGGGGAGGAAGAAATATCCGAGATATATCAGCGGATCACGGTATTTAGCTGCTGGTACATCACGATGTTGAAAACCTGACATCACCCAGCCCTACTGCAGAAGCATTTTACTTACACAGTTGTACCTTGGAAATAGAACAGAATCCATTCGACCTCCAAAACATCCAGAAAACAAAGCCCCATCAGATGTTCGGCTTCCAAAAATAGTTCACAACAATCACTTCCAGGTTTGCAGCATTCGGGAGCCAAAACATTCGAGAACTAAGCTGTTTGAAAACCAAGGTATGACTGTGCTGCTTTTGTACCCAAACACAGAGTTTACAGTATAATAGCATCCACTACAAGAGTTACACTGAATATGTGGTGTGCTTCAAGTGGTATGATGGACCATTGTGAATATACCTATTTAAAAAGCACCATACTTCCCCCTAGTGTGGAAAGTCAGTTACAATTCCACTTACAGTTGAGAACAGAAAAGCAGGCTTTGTGTGCCATAAATACCGTATTTTTCGCCCCATACGACGCACCGGCCCATAGGACGCATCAAGTTTTTTTGGGGGGAAATAAAGAAAAAAAAGTTTATTTCCCCCCCAGGCGCTTGTGGGGCCGGCAGCGGGGAGAAGCGCTCTTCTCCCCGCAGCCCGCCTTGAGATCAGGTCCGGGGACAGCAGGAAGACGCGCTGCGTCTCCCCACTGTCCCCGGAGCCTCCGAACCACTTCGGGAGACAGCGGGATGGCGTTCCGCCTCCCTCTGTCCCCCGACTTTGTGGGGCTGGGGCTCTCCTGAAGCCTGGAGAGCGAGAGGGGTCGGTGCGCACCGACCCCTCTCGCTCTCCAGGCTTCAGCGAAAGCCTGCATTCGCCCCATAGGACGCACCCAGATTTCCCCTTCATTTTTGGAGGGGAAAAAGTGCGTCCTATAGGGCGAAAAATACGGTACATTATGGAATGAAAGCCTCCTACCTTTTTTCTGGCTAGGGTCAGGGAGTTGTAAGAGGTTAGAAAACCACAGCTGTTGTGAAGAACCACACAACTGAAGCCAGGCAGAGACAGCAATTCATTACATTTACAGCTTTTACCACCACTAACCTGATAACATGTTCTTGCCACCTAATTCAACTACCTGCTGTCCTTACATTAGAAGCAGACTACTAATCATTAACTGAGCTGCACTTGCCTGTAGTGTTTAGTAGAATATAAAATACGAATTGAGTTTACTTAGTATGATTCAAGAGAACTGAGTTTAAGCTGTATTTTTCACCTGAAAAATCTGTGTCTTGCAGTATTGCTGGAAGCCTGGTGTATTCTTACATCACCTTTACAGAAGAGCAACTGAACAAGCAGTCTGAAGTTAGCATCAAGATGGACATTAAAGGGAAAAGCTCCGTATGACAAAAGGGTCACTTACCAACAGTAACTCTTGATTTTCAGCCGTGATTGCTGACAAATCGCTACAATGTGCAGTATCTCTGAACAGAAATTGTATGTGCAAATGGAGAGTACCCAATATGAAGATTGCTCGCTGCCTTTTAGAATGAGATATTTAACTGATAGCACAAAATGTACAGCTGGTTATTAACACTAGGCTGAAAGGAATAAGGCTTAAACAGTCACAGCCTATCTTGCACCATTGTGAAGACAAATACTTCTAATGCTCTAGTCTATAGCTTTTATAATCTTGAGTGGAGCAAGAAAATGTGTCCTAAATATTTCAAAATGAACTGAGGCCATTGTGCTAAAAGGCCCAGTGTTGACTCAATTCACTCAGCATAAGACAGCAATCAATTTCTCATCGAAATGAAGCAGACTGTAGTAACTAAGGATGCAATTCAGATCACTTAAATCCCAATGGAAACAACTTTTCGGCCCACAGTAAAGTATTATTAACTTCAGCAGTATTTATACCTATGAGGCTTGTAAAGCACAGTAGTTAGGTGGGATTTCTTATTCAAGAATCGGCAAGAACAAATGGATTCTTTTGCAAGGAATTCTTTTCATAACATTGTAATGCCCCCAGTATGAATCCCCCTTTAAGCTCAGACTCATCTGCAAAAATGAATCTAACTCTAAGCAAGTTATAACTTAAAACATTGTAACTAGGTAGCCAAAACTGTTGGGACTAAGTAGCTAAAGGCAATTCAGATGTAAAAGAATACTGAACCAGTGCCATACAAATTCAGTTATTTGTAATAATTATATTTAATAAAGTTATTTGTAATATTTGCATTTTTACCCACCTGGGTACTTCTGCCCTGTGTATCCAAGACTAACCAACTGACAATAAAAAAGTATAATAGTACTGATGCAGGTTGGAGAGGCCGAAACTCCCAGGTTCTATTAGAAACAGTATTTAACAACATTTTTCTTAAGAAAAATGGTTAAGTTCCAAAAATAATTTGAAAATACATTTTTTTAGAAATTTAGATGGGAGAAATTGAGGAACACAAGGTCTATAAATATATTCAATATATTCTGTCAGTTAAAAACAGGAGAACTACAGCTAATCTCTCAGTGCCAGAGATTTTAAATGCCTTTAACTAAAATGCAAAATAGAATTGGCTTTGCTAATTAGGGAAGCATCAGATTATATAGGTAGAGAGATCACCAAGAATTTTCATCAGGTGTGGAAGAGAAATTTCAAGATCTGTAGCCAACGGAAGCACTTCAACATAAATAGGAACTTTGCTGCCTGCCCACACATGCTAATGACACTAAAGCCAGATGAGGCAACAGCCAGCCTCTTCTCATGAGCCAGGTGAACGGGTTCTAATCTAGACTCCATGGTGACAATTTTCAAGACGGTAGCTCATTCAGAGGCTGTTTTCCTTAACTTTGGTTAAAGGGCAGGCCAACAAGACAACTTGCATAAAACGAGTTCTGGGGAGAAGATACAGAAAATTCCACTATAGTTTCTCTCTCTGCATCAAGGAAAAATGTCTTAATAGAAAAAGCAACCTAAACCACCAAAAACTTCTGAATCCAAGCTGCAAACCTAGCTTGGAAACTAAACGATCTAGACCCGACTTTGGACCAGCAAAAACTAGCACATTCCATATACTTAACTTTGCATACCACTTCATACATTCAGGACTTGGTGTATCATGTTCCTTCAAGTGCCATTTAGTAAAGCACAATATTTAAGGAACCTTGGCTACAGTTCTTAAGCCCCACGTCCTATGTACCTTTTTCAAATGGAGGTTGGTGATGCAACTAAGACTAATACTGGGATTTACCTTTGCAGTCCCAAAAGAAGCAATTTATCAGATTGGTTTCTTTGGGTGTAGGTCATCACCTAGTTGATGACATTTACCAATCATTTTTACAGTGTTTAAATTTCAGTACATGTTTATTTTCAGAGTAAAAGTCTCTATTCAATCCAGATTCTGCACTTTAAAAAAGCTGAATAATGTGACATAAATTATAGTTAATTGTGTACTGTGATTACACGGATTGTTCATCCTCCCTAGCACAGTAACCAGTGATCCCTGGTTAGTGTTAAGCTCACACCAGCAATCCTGGTAAGCCAAGTCCAACACTCAATGCTCTGCTTGATGTAATGCAAAGCCAGGGTTCATGATTTGTTACTCCTTCCAATGTTAGGGGAAGAGCGTTAACCATTCAGACTAAAACATATTGATGTGTAAACACAATCTACATATATGCACACACACAGAATTGTAGAGTTGGAAGGGACCACAAGGATCATCTAGTCCAACCCCCCGCAATGCAGGAATCTTTTTGTCCATCATGGGGCTTGAAGCCATGACCCTCAGTCAAATTATTGTTGCAAAGTTATATATTGTCTCTGGAATCTGCATCTGTTACCCTTTTCTCTGCTTCTATGGCACTGGTATGCATTCTGCCCTGTTCATAACCTTGCATGTTGCAGAACATTGGGGGAAAAACCTTTATAAACCTTAATACGTTTCTCGGTGTGTGATGCCCTTTCCCACCCATTTCAAAAAATCCACCTTTCAATGCTTTGAACATGAACACGCCTTATCCAAAAGGAAAAATGCACATGCTGCTGGCTACTGAGAAGAGACTTAAAAAGGAGGTAAATTTTAACAGCAAGGCAGTTGCACACCAATAGCCCAATAGCATTTGGTCTATTTTTGTTTCAGAAGATTGTTATGAAAGCCACTGTAAGGGGGGTGGGGATTGTTATTCCATAAAGTCTACCTTCCTGTATTATTCCAATCTTAAAGGTGAAGCAGCAGCAGTATAAAAAATGTAATCCATAAATCTAGCATCTTCCCCTTTCTTGTGGCACATCTTTCCCCTCAAATCCCTAAAGTTTGAGGTTTCTCGATCACAGCTATATATTATGGGCTGAAAACAGGAGAGAATAGATACATAAATACTAAAGAGCCACCTTGATCTGAAGTTGCATGTTACAGTTTAATTGTTACCCTGTTCTCATTCATTAACCTCAACATATTGTGTGTGCATGCATATATTGGACACAGTATAAGCCCCAGTTGCACACTTCATACATACTTGCTTTTTAGAGAGTTGGGCTTCTACATCTGCAATCACTGGTCGCAAACCAATGGAAAGAACACACCAGATGTTGCACTAATGTCATTCATTTCAGTAGAGTCCTGTAGCTTCTTTTTGGGCCTCATTGAAACGAATGGTGTATATCGTCTTTTTTGTTGGATCTGTACTTTATCATGGTCGCGGTGACCTGTAGCCACTTTATAATACTTCAGTTCCCCTACCAACTTCAAATCTAAACAACTGAGAATTCGGCCTAAGTATTCATTTTTTAGGAAAGACTATACTGGCTTCTTATGCAGAATACAAGACATTCCATTCACTTCAAACAAACACCACATAAATTTTACAACTCTAGCAATTATGTATGGTATTACTCACCACATCATTGCCTGTCTTACTTTCTTCCCTTGCACAAGAGTCCTGCCTAAAAGTACCAAACGCTGCAAAACACAAGTTCATAGAGAATAATATATGTAAATATTTGTGCAAATAAGAGTATTTGCATGGCCTGACTACAGAAAATGTCATCTATGTATAATGAATTCCTGATACAATCAAATTCTTGTATTTCTCTCTCTAATCTGCTGTACTGAGGCAGTTGCTCTCAGGGTATTTGTTACAGAGATTTTTTTTTAAAAATCATGTAAAATTGTTCTGAATGCATTTGCATTTTGTAAAAACTTTGCAGTGCCAAGTTCTATAAGATACTACATACACTGGGAAGATAAAACAAAAATTCTTACTAGTTTATTTTGTATGCTGTTAATTTTCCTCTTAACTATTTTCATATATAGAATTTATTTACAAGATTGAGAATTCTAGCATTAAGGGTCAACTTTTTTTTTTTAATGTATATTCTGTAGGCTTTATATACTGTAAGTAAGAGGAAACCAGAAGGAATTTTATGTCCATATGTATTTTTGTACTGGCTTAGAAATAAATTTTGAGACAATTTTTCCATGTCTCAGTTTTAAAATTTGTTGGTTTTATTACTGGGTTTATCAGAATCAAAACCAGTTTCTTTTTCAGTAACAGGTAAATGTGTTACTGGTAATGTTTGCAAATAAGTATATCTGGTTGGTGTATCACAATACAGGTGTACTATTCTACTCACCACTTCGATAGTGAATTTCGTTTGAATAGCATTTGACTTGAATTATTGTCACTCAAGACCCCAGCAGCATGTCAATAAGTGATGGATTCCGTTGTTTCCCATAATGCTTTGTAACACAGAAGTCATGGCTGATCATACAGTAAGCCTAGAGCTATGGCTTCAAGAATCTCTTCTCCTGACCTGAATTGTTTTGAAATGTTAATGATACATCGGTATAACACACATGTAAAGTTCAATGTGCAAGGCTGTGAAGACTACTACTGAACAGTCCAAATACACCATCAGAAAAGTTCCACAAGCTTTAGTGACACAAGCTTCTCTTAAAAGAAACAGAAGTTCCACTCTTAATATATTCAGTTGTATTTATGTAAGCAATGTGTTTAAAAAAATACTTTATAATCAGCTTTTCCAGAATTGCAGATGGCGAACTAGGGAAGGGACACAGGGATTACCAACAGTGCAAAAGTACTATGTGAAAAATTTATAAAAACTAATTTGCAAATTTTTAATTTCTTTCAAAATATCACTTTAAACCCTTTTATAAAGTCCAACAGTCAGACCTGTTGAATCGAAGGTTTGATTCAGACTGCACGCAATGCACTTCATGGATCATGACACAATAGTGCTTAAAAATATACATTACAATTACTATACACAAACTGCACTGACTTTTCAATCCAATTTGGAAGCAGTATTTTTTTCTTTTCCAAACAGAACTGAAAGCTTCTTGAACAGGTTACTATATTACTAGAATTTTAAATAGTACTACTAGTGCAATGTCTTATCAAGTTATAGTGGCTGCATTTTAAAGAACATGAATAAAATATTGTATAAACACCTGGATAAACAAAATGCACATTACAATTAAATACTTAATGAACAGCTGAGCATTACATATTGATTATGGAATGTCAGGACTTTTCTTAGGCATACCATTGAAAGTTAAGATCAAAGACCAAAGTAAAATTTCTGAAAATGTACACAGTGCTATATTTTACTTACAAGCCTGAGAACAATATACTTAGAAACTTTCCTATGAATTGTATTGCAAGCATTTCCACTTGCAAAATATATAGGTAAGGAAGAAAAATAGTTGCAATAAGATTTCTAAAAGCATTGTGCTGCCTTGCTCTAACATACTTTATAGAGACAATCTTTGATACGAGGCTATGAAAACTTTGGATTCCCATATTTAACAAATCTGGGTTTTGCCAACTATGTCACCTCCCAAAAGCAGTTCAGTTTACAAGATGAAGGGTTTAATCTATAGAGGCAAGTCATGCCTGCTGGGAGATACACTGCTTCTGAGCTCTAGACAATAAATATTAGCCCTGTAAGTTAGATCACATATTCTGCCAAAACATTTCAGGAGAAAGCTGGGGGCTCTATTAATAATTAAATAACTTAAGTGACATCTACAATGAAATGGAGGTTCACATAATTAAGACCAAACATCACACATTTTGCCAAGTTACAGAGTTGTCGGGCCAACTTGAAACAGCATGGTTGTAACCTTTAAAGCAAGCGTCAAGACAAGTAGATGGAGAAAACTACAGATAGCCTGATGTAAAAGCAACAAAAACAATACTTCCAATGAGTCATTTTACATGGCAATAAGGGACAAACATGGCAAACCTCTACCATGGCCATTATCCAAATCCTCTTATGGATGGGACTCATGGCTACAGGGACTATTCCTGCCACATTGTCAAGGACATCTGTCAAGCAAATTATTTTTTTAAAAAGGTTACCAGCCTTTACAGTACCTCACAGACACGGGCATATTCATACATATATATGCAATAATTATTCAAAGACTCTTCTGCTTCCTAAGAAACAGTAAGCAGCATAAATCCAAGTGAATTCCTTGGAATGTATGATCAGGCCCAAATATGAGCTGTGCATTTGTTCCTCATCAAGGCTACCAGACCCATTTCACAACTACACTGTGCTCACTGAAATGTAAAAATAATTAATGAACAATGTAATGCCTGACCTTGGCTAACAAGATTTAGCAACATTAAAACATTTAAGGTTGTCTCATCATAAAAATAAATCTGAAAAAGAATTATAAAAGCAAGAACACTTGTGCAATCAAAGCATCGTCCTAAATTCCAAAATTCTAAGTCACCATTTGTCTCAAGATAGAAATTTGAAAAATTATGGTATTCATAATTGGGTGTGAATTTTAAATATTTAAAAATTTTACCGCTTTCTGAAACATGACTATTACTCTTTTTTTTAATAAAAAAGCTTTAGCAAAATAAAATGAAGCTGACAGATCAAATCTCGTAAAAGTTTACCATACTGTACAAGTTATGAAAATTACACACTTGTATTTAGAAATTACAGCTCAATCATGACTTAAGTATTGTAAAAATCTTTCAAAGGCTACAAAGAATCTGGAAAAATACAGAATGTATCTCTTATATCCAGATAAGAATATGGAAAGACATCACTGATGTCAACAATTTTACATATACAAACCTGACTTGGTTTATTTTTAAATATTTCTATATATAAAAAAATATTTTCTCACATACAACTTTCAGGATTTACAGGCATTCCTTAACCACCATTCTCTTCCTATGGACTGATAAACTATCATCAGATCCTCACTTGTTTTATGAATCCTGCTTTACAATTTTACTATCCAATATTATGGAATTTGACATTGATGACTTTCCAGAGTGTATTTTGCACAGTAGTTTATGTCTGTTTTCCTTGAAATGCTAAAGAGGAAGCAGTCCTTTTCAATAGAACGTGCTCCAATTAAATGTATCATTCAAGATTTGAAAGGTATGCTGTAACTTCTTCAGTCAGGATTAGGAAGCAACCAAAATGTATTTCAAAATCTCAATAAATTATATTAAAGGATTTGAATCTGTAAGGGTAACCTACCAACCCTGAAAATTTTGGACACCCCCAAAATTGCTTGAAGGAATAAAGCCAAACATTCAGTCATCTACCATCTCCTGTTCTTCAAACTTTCCATGGGTCACTGCTTCTGGGTAAATCTCTGAGGAACCTGGACTCTCCTTCTCATTACTATTGACTCTTCTCCTCTTTGCAGGCCTTTCGTTTTTTTCTTCAGGATCATTTTCATTCTTTGAATTTGAATGAGCAAGTTTAGAATGATTGGAAAGGTTTTCAGTTTCATAGCCATTTGTATCAAGATCCACAAGAGGCATTTTTTTGCCAGTTGTTGGTCCGTTTATGTGCAATCCCTCAATTTTCACTTCTTCTTTACTTGATAGTTCACCTGGCCCATTCGTGGATACACCTATATCATAAAGGAAACAAAGAAAGACTATGAGCAAGGACTGTACAATTGCATTTTGGAAGAAGTACTTAAACTTATGACCATTTACGGGTTTAAGTAAATTCTACCATTACAGAGGCTATGTAATTGCCGCAATCCACTTTAGTTTATGAAATTTCCCATTTGAGTTTACAGCACCACACCACTTGTGTCTGTTTGTGAATCAAGTGTAGATTATAGAACTGTTCACAATGCCCACGGGATATCTGCAATGAGCTTTGGAAAAATGTTTAGTTTAAGAGATTTCAGATATACTAAGGACATAGAAATTTTACATACCATTTTGATTACTGCTGCTGGTTGTGCTGTCCTCTCTCTCCGAATGGCTGGTGCTGCTGTTAGAAGTTGTGGGAGGTGGGGAGGGAGCTCGACTAGATGCAGCACTTTCACTTTCATCTAAGAGTCGATCCATGTAATCCCTTAAAGGCAGAAAGAAAACATTTGCTCTTCAGCATGGATAGACCTGCTGCAAAAAGATCTTGTCATCTGGAGGAGCCCTGGCTGCCTAGATAAAACACTAAAGCCTCACGCTTACCTGGGAGTAAGGCCCACTGAACTCAGTGTGGCGTTCTTCTGAGTCGACAGTTATTTACTTGATGCAAGCCAGCAGCACCAGACGATCCTACTCAGCTAGGCACCGGGGTGGATTTCACCCCATGCCTTGCAGAATTGGGTAGAAAGCTCTGATCCACTTGGGGCTGGGGTGGATTGCACCCTGTGGCTTGCAGGGTCAGCCCAGGTTGCCACCGGGTGCAAGCAGCTTGCCCAGCCCTACCCATTGCCACCCCACTACCGCATTTACCCGACCTAGGGGCTCTGGATCGTGGGCTCTACTGGTCAAAACAGGAGTAGAGTGATCGCCCTCTCCACAGGAAATGAAACCAGGACCGGGCACGGGGCAAAAAGGGAGCACTAGGCCCTAGTAGGCCACCCCCTTACCCGCTTGTGATTGACCAAGCGGATAATCAGCCAATCAGGATTTTTAAAAAGTGCTTCCCCCCCCTTCAGTTCTCACTTCCCGCTGTGGCCCCTCGTGCTGTGGTGCCCCATTTATGCAATTTTCACCTGTAGCCCTACTGGAATATCCTGGGGGGCCCAGGGAGCCATATGGCCTCTGGTTGGGAAACACTGCTCTAGAACATCATTCCAGTAAGACACACATTAGTGGAAAGCACACAGCAGTCTATGTACAAATTAATTTTAAATTTTGCAAGGACATCAATTGTAGAAAGAAGCAGTACTGCACAACTGGAAAAAAATATTGTTCATACTTGATAAAGAAACAAGACTTCATAAGACAACATCAACTATTTCTTGCCATTGGTGCTACACCATCTGTGAAACTCAGGAAGGCTTGGCAGTGCCTGGCAAAACACCTTTAAAGTTTCCCCATGCTTTTATGGTATTTTATACCACTTATATCTGTTCTTTATGTGTCTTATACTTCTTTGTAAGCAACCCTGTTCATTTCCATTGTAGGGTGGCATACACATTCTTAAACTGAAGTCTCCATCAAGCTCACTCACTCCAAAATGTGTTTTATGGTCACAGTAAACTTCTGTGTAACAAGCAACTAACAAGTCTAATAAATCAAACTGCCTGGAGACAATTATGCCAGCTACTATTTTTCATGGAACTCTACTCCCTTGGTTTGACATTACATTGCTGGGTACTGTAGTATTGGGAGGTTTTTAATGCTTGATGTTTTTACCATTTTTAGATATGCTGTAAGCTGGCCAATTACAATAATTGCCAGGTATTTATTCACCACTTTGAGGGCTCCCTGGCCAAAAAACACTATAAAAGACAGACAAGAGCTGCTGTGCTAGGAAAGCCAGCCTGCTGGACTCAGATCAGAATCTAACTAAATGCTAGACTTAGAGAGACCTAGATTCAAACGCTAGATTTAGGAGATACCTGGCTTCTTGTAAGTGGAACTCTGACTAGGAAGAGCACACATTCATTTCCCATTTCTACACAAAACCAACCAAAATTGATTACAGCTTACGTTACACCAGGATGCAAGTTGTACTTCTTTTTACCAAATCGTGTCTGTTGAGCAAAGAAGTCGTATCGTTCCGATTTTTTCCACATGTAGTAAAATGCTATGCATTCTCCAACAGATCTTGTCCGTACCTTTGAAAAACGAGTAAACCAAATACTTACTCTGCTTTCTATATAGACTTGTGAAACACACTCTGAGATGACAAGACTTGGAGTTGAGGGATTGTTCAAAATGGGGACATTTAGGCAGATTAACACCTTGCCGAACACCTTAGGGGAGTGCCCCTGAATGACCAGCCAAGCAAACTGCCCTTGCTTCTCCCTCCCAAAACACCACATTACATGTTAAGCTAGATAGGGTAAATAGCACAGTCTTGCTCAGAAGCAGATATGGAACGTTAAGGCAATTTTTGCTCTGAATTACTCAGTCGCTTGTTGGAGGAACTAGGATGAACTAGGAGGGACTAGGTGGAGGAACTAGGAGGGACTAGGAGCAAATAGGTGGAGGAACTAGGAGGAGGAACTAGGTGGAGGAACTAGGGAAGGAGGGACTAGGTTTACCCAATTCACTAACCTTATTTGCCTGAATCAAGTGAAAATCCTTTCCATAAGCCTTCAATCCTTGTTCAAAATTTCTACATTCTTCTTCTGTCCAGACAGATAGTTCCTCTGAATTTAAGAAATATAATACAAAAGCATATAAATGAAATTATTATTTAGTTTATCTGTATACCACCCTTCATCCAAAGATCACAGGGTGGTTCACAACATAAAAATACAAAAGGAGAACACAAATTACATAATAAACCAAGAACAAGAAAACATTGAAAAGGCCATAGAATACTCATGGAAGGGGCACACAAAGAAGGGCTTTAGATGATGTTCGCAGAGTCCAGGTTGGTATATACCGTATTGGCCTGAATATAAGCCGCACCCTCAAATAAGCCACACCTTTAAAATTCGGGGGGGGGGGGGAGGGAGAGAAAGACAATAGCCAAATATAAGCCACCCCCTTAAAATTGGGTTACAGGCTTAAAATCGCTGCGGTTGGTAGAATTCTAACTCCGAGCCCATTTAAGCCTTTGATCTTGCAGGCTCATACAATTGCTCAAATGGCAAATTGCTATTCAATTGCTACAATTCCGTAGGCACTCACACCTGCAAATGGCAAATGAGCAATCTTGAGCTCACAAATCAGCAAAAAAACATTTTTTTGGGTTCCGTTTTACCGTATGTCTGGTTTCAGCATTGATATCGTCAAAGCCCATTTTTGTAAGGCTGCAAATTTAAGCCGCACCTTAACTTTTAACGGTTGGAATTTGGAAAAAAAGTGAGGCTTATATTCAGGCCAATATGGTATCGGGAGAGGTGGTCCTTGAGATTATTGCATTCCCGATCCATTCAAGGCTTTATAGGTCAAAACCAGCACTTTGAATTGGGCCCAGAAACTAACTGGCAGCCAGTGTAGATGGGTCAGGATATATATCATATGCTCAAGCTATCTTGTCCTGATGATCACCCTAGCCACTGAATTCTGCACCAGCTGAAGTTCCCAAAGTGCCTTCAGAAGCAGCCCCATGTACAATGCATCAGTTTGAAGAATCTAGCCTAGAGGTTCCCAGAGCACAGACAACTAAAGTTGGGCTATCCGTGTCCAGATAGGGGTGCAGCTGGGCCACCAGGCGAAGCTGATGGAAGGTGGTCCACACCACTGAGGCCACCTGAGCCTCAACCAACAGAAATGGATCCAGGAGTAGCCCCAAGCTACAGACCTACTCCTTCAGAGGGAGTGTAACCTCATCAAGACCAGGCAACCTCCCATCCATCTGGTCAGTGCCTCAGCTCCAAGTCAAAAAATTAGCCAATATACATAGCCATATGCAGACATCTCTTAACCATAACTTTGGGGGGATGGGTGGAGAGAGAGATTGAACAGGAGGGGATTGTTTACTATCTACACAAAAGCACAAATGGGGAGTGAAATGCTTGCATTGTTGCACCCTGTGCAATCTTATCTAATTTCCAGATCACATCTAATGTTGTATTCTGCTGCTTTAAAATTTAAGTTGTCTTCCCACAACAGTATTACAACATAGTATATATTAACCCCACCTCTACTTTATATATGAATGAGATAGATGTGTGCATAGTTGCTGTATCAAATCTACTTAGGCGTATATGTTATAGAAATTAATTAATTAATTTTAAAAATTGTCCAGTAGCACCTTAAGAGACCAACTAAGTTTGTTCTGGGTATAAGCTTTCGTGTGCATGCACATGAAAGCTTATACCCAGAACAAACTTAGTTGGTCTCTAAGGCGCTACTGGACAATTTTTTATTTTTATTTATTTATTTCGACTGCGTCAGACGAACACGGCTACCTACCTGAATATATGTTATAGTTGGACAATTTTACTAGGACTCAGTTATATTTAAAGAAACTAGAACTTTTAGAATCACAGAATTCTAGAGTTGGGAGAGATCTACAAGGGTCATCTAGCGCAAGGCAGCTAAAGCGTCTCTGCCAGATAGCCACCCAAACTTGGATTATTCCTCACCAAGGAAGGAGAGTCCACCACCTTCTGAAGCAGTCCATTCCAATCTCAAACAGATCTTACTGTCAGAAAAGTCATCCTAAGAATCTCCTTGTTATTTTTATCTTTTGGTTCAGATTCTACCTTCCAGAGCAGCAGAAAACAAGCTTGTTCCATATTGTGACAGCCCTTCAGATATCTGAAGATGGCTATCCTAGCTCCTCTCAGTCTTCTCTTCTCTTCTTTTCTCTAGGCTAAACATACCCAACTCCCTCAACTGTTTATCTTAAGGCTTGAGTTCCAGACCCTTGATAAATCTTGGTTGCCCTCCTCTGCACAGACTCCAGCTTCTTGATATCCTCCTTAAACATTTGTCCCTCCTGAAATGCATTTTGATAGTTTTGGCCCAGTTCTCCAACCTGTTAAAGGCATATTGAATGCTGATTCTATATTCTGAGGCAGCGTTTCCGAAAGGTACAATAATCGTATATGCCTTTTGAGTTTTGTCTTACCACTGCACCACCTTCTCAGGTGAATGTAATTTGGGGGTAGTTTTAATAATATTATTTTATATTTGAATTGTTTTATGCAGCTAAAAAAACTTATGATAAAGTAAAACAAAAAAATTATGCTGCCTACCCTCTGAAACCCTTTCATGTACTCTAGGGGGCACACATACAACACTCTGGTGGCACCTGCAATTTGATGAGCATCCCATCTATTTCTTCATTCAAGTCACAACACCAGGCCCAGGACAGACCCCATATTACCCCACTTGTCATTCTTTTCCAAGAATAATGACGACCATTGATGTGCACTCTTAGGGTTCCATCAGTCAAACAGCTACAAATCAACATAATAGTAACTAATAAGTACACTTGAAGGGTGGGGAAACTCTCAAGAGTAAACTAAATTATTGTAATTTTTTAATGTACCTTTCATTTCCTTTTGCATTTTTTCATGTATTTTGTTTCACTGAAATATTTACAATAAAAAAATTAAAACCATAAATATTAAACTGATTTATTTTAAGATCTCTAAAATAATGGATGGATGGATGGAAGATATATATTTGATATATTAAAGGGCTCTTAATGGGATTGTAATGTTAAGAAGATTTTTAAATTGGCTGTTTTCATTAAAGGTTTTTTTAATGATAAAATATACATACCTCGGGCTGCTTTTACATTAAATCTTAATCTTCTTAGTGCCTCTTCTATATCAAAATTGCATTTCACTAATTCATACAAAGCCTGGGAAAGAAGGAAGAAATTATGATCTTCTCAACTATTGTTTAAAAACACCGGAACAAAATCAGCTGTTTCTGTTTTTAAAATCCAGTGTTAAGACAAAGCTAGATCCTGCTGTAGAATCATAGAATTGTAGCGTTGGAAGGGACACTGAGGATCATCTAGTCCAATGCCCTGAAATGTAGGAATATGCAGCTGTCCCATATGGGGATCAAACCTGAAACCTTGGTGCTACCAGCACCAGGCTCTGACCCACTGAGCTATCCAGGTAAGGAACATAGATTTCATATTTCCCAATACATATAAAATTCTGAATCCTGCACCACTCAAAAACATTAGGCAGCCAAGATGAGGGAGTATAATGTGACACACAACATAATAACCACAAGGAATTTTAAAGCCACTAAGAGTTCCAAGTGTCTTAAATACCTGCTCATTGTCTTTAATATGAGATCCTTCAGGAATTGCATCTATTCCTCTCTCATCACCTGTTCGTCTAGAGGCTTCATTAAGGAATTCGATCACTTTCTCTTCAGACAAGTAATCTGGATTCCACAGCAACTGGTCATCATTTTCATACACTAAATTAGAGAAATCAAGACATATATTGTCTTAACATCATCTATCTTTAAACCTATCTACCAAAATTCTTTCTATTTACCTCCAAAACAAGCCAAAATGCTAAAGAGACTTCCTTGACAGCATTTCTTGAAGAAAACCAGACTCATTTCTGAGTAGATAACACAGGGCTGAGCTGTAAAGCTGGCAAACCTGAAGAGTTGAGTTCTACTGGTTCACTAATAATTGGCGGAAACTTGAAAGATATATATTCACTGGTGACATTATGCAAAGTCTAACTCTTGTGAATGGGCAACTCAGTTCTATCCCTTTGCTCTGATAGGAAGCTGTGTGCAACAAATAAGCATTCACTCATCATACATGACAAAAAGCATTGGGGATTGAGACTTCTAACATCTTTGCTTCCCCAGCACCTCTTATACCTGCCACCAGAGCCAAATGCTACAAGATCAGCAGGTGTTGCCCAGTGATGAAGCCCTGGACTATGAGAGTCTTAATAGCTGTTACTTCATCTGTCAGTTCCAGGCCAGGAAATTCAGCTGAATACAATTATACTATTGCCTAAATAAATAAATATTCCTTACACAGCAGTTTTCCAGTAACCAAAATAAAGATTCTTATAGAGATTCACTCTCATGACCATTTTTAACATGATAAAATTAATGGACAGTAACTTTTACCAATGGAATTAATGTGATAATCACATTGCAACATTATGAGAACTGCTAAAGTTTACCTCAATCATGAACCTCATTGGCCACCTTTCCCCCTAAACATCTTACCTCAAATTTGTCAGATCTCTTAATTTGGATCAAATTACCACCATAGCATTAACAGCAGTTAAAGTTTACCTTTTTCATTTTCTTTGTATTTAGATATCCCAACTGGAATTTCAGCTTGAAACATGGAGCCCACCATGATTTCCTATATAAAAAAACACATTCACAATAACCAGAAGTGTAATTGAGAACCCATCTGTTGCTATGTATATTATTAAAAAATATGTAGGTTTAACACAGTATGAATGCATCCAATCACTAGAAAATGCAGTTTGAGAAAATTACCTCACTTTAATGAAGTACTGTAATTTTCGCTCCATAACACGCAGTTTTTTCCTCCTAGAAAGTAAGGGGAAATGTCTGTGCGTGTTATGGAGCGAATGCCTACAGATGACGGGGGAATCTGCTGCAGTCGTGGGCAGTCCGTGGCTCGCTTTGAAACAGCAAAGCTCCTGTCATCGAGCGGAGCCGGGGAGGAGGGAGAGAAGCAGAGTAGGATTGGAGAGGAGCCGCTTACACAAGTGTAAGCGGCTCCTGTCTGGATGGCTGCTTTAAAACAACCCCGTGCTCTCTGTCCCTCTCTCCTCCCCACTGAGCTCGCTAAGTAGCAGCAAAGCTTTTCAGGGAGCGGAGCCAGGGAGGAGGGAGAGAAGCAGAGCGGGAGAGGAGCCGCTTACACGAGTGTAAGCGGCTCCTGTCCGGTTGGCTGCTTTAAAACAACCCCTGCTCTCTGTCCCTGCCTGCAGTTTTTTGCTGTCCGATTTTGGATTAGCCACTGTAGGGGCTGTGTGTGTGTGTGCTTGAGCTATTGTTCTCCTCCTCCTGCTTCCCCTTCACTCTCCCAGCGCCCCTGCGACTTTAGGATTGATACTCTGTGTGTGTGTGAGGGATCGTTCTCCTTCTCTTGCTTCCCGTTCACTCCCCTAGCGCCCCTGCGACTTCCAGTGCCCTGCGACTTTAGGGACGGTTCTCTGCATGTGCGTGTGTGTTTTGACCTCACTGCGCTTGTTGGGGGAGAGTGTTGGTCGCAATTTTTCTTGATTTGTCTCAGAGTGGTTACTATCGTGGTTTCCTTTGTTTGTCTTAGCGCGTTGCTTTTAATTATCTTTAAGTGTGAGTGTGAGCGTTTTGGCAGCTGCCGAGCCGGGGAGGAGGGAGAGAAGCAGAGCCTGCTTGTTTTAAAGGAGCAAAGCGGGAGAGGAGAGGAGCCTCTCCTGCATTATTAGCAGCATCCTTCTCCACACACCCCACGCGTGCTCCTTGTCCCCTGAGTGCTTTTCCTTCCCTCCCCACTTAAAACATGGTTACAAAGCACGGATCCACATGGATCCTCAGGATTTTTGCACTGGGTCACCCCAAATTCACCATCGATCACATAGCATGTCCATGGCTACAGCCTGCACCAAAAAACACACACGCACCCACTGTTTCATGGGGCAGCAATGGCGCAAAAACGTGGTTACAAAGCATGGATCCACATGGATCCTCAGGATTTTTGCATTGGGCTACCCCAAACTCACCGTCAGATCACATGTCTGTGGCCACAGCATGAACCACAAAAATCATACATCCACTGTTTTGTTTAGAATATTTTTTTTCTTGTTTTCCTCGTCTAAAAACTACGTGCGTGTTATGGTCAGGTGCGTGTTATAGAGCGAAAAATACGGTAAGTACTCTGTATTGAGGTAGCACCATCCATTTAACCTGTGGACAAGCTATGAAGTGACAGCAACGTTCCCTTCTGATCAGTCAATTATCTGTCAAAATTGTTCAGTGTGAGGCTTTCAGATTGGATAAAGATGATAAAAAGATGTGGAGTTGTATTGTTTCCATTTTTTAAAGTGACACGAAAGTGCAGAAGTTGCCAACAAAAACATGTTTCACAATACAGTTGATTTTGTCTTCTTATATACTACTTAAAAGTAATAAATAACCCCAAGGCAGTTTCCATCTAGCAAATCAAATGCCATCAATAAAAATAACAGCAAATAACCAACAACAATCAATTCAACAGTGCAAACTGAGGCTAAGAATCAGGCATGCCCTTCACATGCTCATGTGAACAAGTGCCCTTCACATGCAGTGGGCACCCATTAGAGCTATGGCTAAAAGGAGGAGTTCAATAACTGTGGCACCATTAAAGATAAGGCCCTGCGCCAGGTCTCCACTCAGTGAACTTCAGCTGCTAGTTGGACCACCAGCAGGGTTTTCTGCCAAATTCAAGAGCGTGGGCTGACATGGGGAGAGGTGGTTCAAAAAATGTGTACCCACAAGACGTGAAGGGCTTTATATATTAGTTTAAGCACAAAGAATTGGCCCTGGTAACAAATAATGAAGAAGTTCAGATCCCATAGAATAGGTTTTACATAACATTGCACATAAGTGCCTGTAAGGACTCCTACAGCTACATCCTGCACTATCTGCAGTTTCCAAGGCAGTCTTCTAGGGCAACCCAACAGAGGGCATTACAGTAGTCTGAACAGGAGGTGGCCAGAACATGCAGAACTGTGGTGAGGCTGTCTCATTCCAGAAATGGCCTTAGTGGGCACACCAGCTGGAGCTGAAAATCGCTCCAAACCCTCTGATGCCTGCACCCAAAGGGCACTCACAATGTTCTAGAATACCTTCTTTATTTATATAGTAGCCACATATGCTAATATAGTATTACCTTTTTCCAGTCTTCTGAAGGAATATAATCTTCGTCTTCTTCAGATTCCTCTTCTATTTCACTGTCTATATACAAAAACCAACAACTTTTGCTTAAATGTTAATAGCTACTCTGAGTCGCATTCCTTCAAATACAGTATATCCTAGAGACAGTTTTCTCAAAGTTAATTGGGCATTGAGACATGATGTCACAACCAACTCTATGTGACGACTTGTGGCAGAGATCTCCTTACTGAGTAATACAAAGAATTGTAAGAAGCAAGCAGATTACAAATTTGTAAAAAGTCATTTAAATATCTGTGAACACCATGTCAATGTATTTACCAAAGAACAGCTGCATATGCAGTCAGAGAAAGCATGAATCTTAAAGTTTGAAATAGATTTTAAAAGGTTTTTTAAAAAATTACATCCCATGTTGCTGAAACCATTTTTGCTAGCAGCCAAACAGCTAGTGACAATTACTATAAAAGAACACAGTTCTGATTGCTGTCAACTGTATGTTTTAATTCTAGTGAAGCCACTAAAGAAATATTGGGCAGATTCACCAGAAATTGTGCAAGGACTGCCACTTGTACAACAGGGCTTGGGTCAGAGGAGCATTACAAAAGCTTCCCTTTCCTTACCCTGTTCTCCAATGGAAGCTAGGGACACCTCAACCTTCAGGAAAGCACCTTATTTTCTGTAAATCAAACAACTGCATGTTCTGAATCCTCTATGTATCCAAGTCTGATGAACAAGAACCACTGATCTTGGTGGTTAAAACTGAGGAAGCCAGCTTCTAACACTACTGGGGCTGGGGGGCAGGGAGAAACTGATTGTAATGTGGGGAAAAATATTTCTACAAGTCCCAACACACATGCTGAAGTCTTTCCAGACATCTGAAAGGAACTAGAAAAGGCTCACTGCACTGCCTTTGCCTCTCACCAGATTTGCCAAATAAATGTTTAAATTTCTAGTTATTTCCTTCTATGTATGGAGCCAACATGTATATTACAGATTTATGACTTGGCCCAAAATCTCCAATCGTTTCATCATTTCATAGCGTTCCTATCCCCACTAAGTGCCAGCAAAAGATTAACATCCACAGAATGCATCTTACAAGGTCTAGGAATGATCTAAATAGGATGAGTTTTCCACAGCTTACTAACCATCACTACAGTCCTGCCCCTCACCCCCCCCCATTTTCTCCTAATAATTCCAATATTTGCCAAAGAGCATACATACAAAATAATTAAAATAATTAGTAATTAAAAAATTAATTAATAATTAAAATGTGCCTATATAATTGTTTTTAAAAAGGAAGAACACAAACAAAATTACACCTTATTACTTGCAAGCAGAAACTTGCTTTTGGCACTTGTGAGAGTACTTAAGCTATGGGAAGTAAGGAAAAGGCTTATCTCATTCAGTTTTTGGTATGAGAATCCTCAAACACTTATATGGGATCAAATTACAAGAGCTGTTAAAATGTCTGAAAACAGGTTTAGATGACAATGCTTGATACTTTAAAAGACATACTTGCATCAAAGTATTTACACCGCCGTGGGCGAATTATCTCCTGTACAGCAGAGGGCACCGGATCATCGTTGGAGGACTGTGTCTCATCCTCTTGACCAGATGAATCCTTTATGACCTCCTCCTTACAAACAACGAAACAAGACAGCAGCTATTATCATTTCTGCCCTACTTACACAAGTTAACATACAAAATAAAATTGGTATAATTGACAGTGCATCATAACCCATAACAGTAAGAAGTGATGCCTTAAAAACCAAGTGGAAAAGAAAAATGAAGCAGATTAACAGACTAAAATCATACATAAGCTGCACACTGAAAAAAGAAGTTTAACATGTTTTTTAAAACTAAAAGAGGCACAGCAGAGCTGCTCAAAGAAGACATTCCACAGTACCACTGACCAAAAAGGCCCTGTCACATCCCCACCCAGGACCAAAAAAAGGGCTTCTGGTGCTAATCTTAATATCTGGCAAACTGTGCAGCAACACAGCTCCTGAGGCAACCTGGTCCCAAGTCATTAAAGGCTAGAACCAATGCTTAAATCTGAGGAAGCCAAAAAAGAAAAGAAAAAAGGAAAGGAAAGGAAAGGAAGGAAGGAAAGGAAGGAAGGAAAGGAAAGGGAAGGGAAGGGAAGGGAAGGGAAGGGAAGGGAAAGAAGCTACTGTTTGCTAATATGTTGTTATTTTAAAGGGGGAACTTGCAAGCTGAAATCTGCTTTTGGCAATTGTAAGTGCAGATTTAGGGATGGGAAGTAAGGAATATGCTCCAATCTTTCATCCCCAGCTAGCAATCTGGCCACTGCATTTTTTACTAATTCAGGTTTTCAAGGCTTTCTTTAAAGGAAAACCAACAGAGACAGCACTGCAGTAGTATAACCTGGAAGTAACTAGGGATGGATAACTGAGGGTGGGTCTGTATTGTTCATTAGCTGGCAAATCACCACTTTGAGACTATCTAGGAAAAAGCAAAACTACTGAAATAATGTAATATAACATCATCACCGTTACAGAATTAGAGTTTGAGGGGTTCCATTTAGCGCCAACCTAGTGCCCTCCACAGCCAGCATGTTGGCAAAAACTGATCTAGTCGAATCCCTTGTTTGACCTAGGGCATCCAGATTTATAGCATCCCGAACAAACGGTTGGACAGTGTTCTCGAAGCTACGAACATGAGTTTTACCAAGCTGCGGGAGGCAGTGGAAGACAGGAGTGCCTGGCGTGCTCTGGTCCATGGGGTCAAGAAGAGTCAGACATGACTAAACGACTAAACAACAACAACAAATGGCTAGCCAGTCTCGGCTTGAAGACCTCCTATAAGGAAACAAATACCACCCCCTACACCAGGGATGACTATTGTATGACTCTCCAGATGCTAAACTATAACTCAGGCATCCCCAAACTTAGCCCTCCAGATGTTTTGGGACTAGAACTCCCATCATCCCTAGCTAACAGGACCAGTGGTCAGGGATGATGGGAATTGTAGTCCCAAAACATCTGGAGGGCCGAGTTTGGGGAGGTCTGCTATAACTTTCATCAGCTCAACCCAGCAGAGCCAATGGTCAGAGGTGACGGGAGGGTCTCAGGTTTACCACCTCTGATTTGTGTAACTGATTCTTTTGTTGACTTGTCAAGAAGTTTCTCATAATGTTCACATGAATCTACTCTCCTGTAACTTAAACCCATTAGCTCTAATCTTATCCTCTGGAGAAGCAGAAAACATTTTATTTTGCCCACTTGCACATGACAGACTTCAGACTTTCAAAAATTTGAAGAGGGCTATCATATCCCTCCTTGGGCTTCTCTTCAGGAGGATAAACATATCCTTTCCTACATGCTGCCATCCTCTAAGCACATTCTAATGTATCAGTTTTTCTTACTGTGGTGCCCAGAGCTAGAAACAGAAGTCTAAATGAACTCTGACAATTGCACAATAAAATTGTAACCATTACTTCCTGTGCCTTGCAAATTTTTGGAAATCTCTGACTTGGTTCATTCTAAAACTGTATTCATGTATTGCAGATGCATCACACTAGTTCAGCCTATGATCAACTTCAGGAGGTTCAGAAGGATACCATGGTTGATGGTATCAAAGGTTGTTGAGAGATCCGAGAGAAGTAATAGGGTTTCTGCCCAGGTCACCCACCAGAATGGCCAAGGGAATTTCAATTCCAAAATCAGACCAGAAACCAGCATGGAACAGATCCAGATACTAAATCATGGAATGTCTAGATGAGAAGCTAGCACATACTTGAAAGCTTGCCCAAATAATCTAGTTTTGACCACAGATCAAGTTGACTTGTAAGAGAGACTTCTCCATAGGTACAGGAACTATGCCATCTCTTAGAGGCTTTGGTCACCTCTAAAATACAGAATGGCATACCCAGAATAATAGCAGCAGCAACAACAATAATTTAAATTTATATACCGCCCTATACCCACAGGTCTCAGGGCAGTTCACAGGATAAAATCACAATATAAAAACACAAAATACATAATCAAAATACAGTGGTGCCTCGCAAGACGAAATTAATTCGTTCCGCAAGTTTTTTCTTCTTGCGAGTTTTTCGTCTCGCGAAGCACGGTTTCCCATAGGAATGCACTGAAAATCAATCAATGCGTTCCTATGGAAACCGCCTTCAGACCAGGTCCGGGGACAGTCTGTCCCCCGACCTCTTCTGAAGGCTGGGGGGGACGGACAAGGGCTTTTCTTCCCACCCCCAGCATTTTAAAAAACCCCGGGACAGCGGAGGACTTCTCCGCTGTCCGGGGCGATCTTAAAATGCTGGCGGGCGGCAGCGAAGCCTTCGTTGCCGCCCGCCAGCATTTTAAAATCGCCCCGGGACAGCGGAGGACTTCTCCGCTGTCCTGGGGCGATTTAAAAGCCCCTGGGAAGGCAGGCAGGGGGGAGCAAAGACTCGGGGGGGGCGAAAGTCTTTGCTCCCCCCGCCTGCCTTCAAAAGCCGTCCGGGATAGCGGAGAAACGCAGGCTGGCGGCGGGAGGAGGTCTCTCCGCCCCGCCGCCAGCCTTCGGAGGACGTCCGAGGACAGTGGGGAAGACGCGCTGCGCTTCCCCGCTGTCCCGGAGATTTCCCTATGGGCTTTCGTCTTGCGAAGGAAGCCCATAGGGAAATTCATTTTGCGAAGCGCCTCCAAAACGGAAAACCCTTTCGTCTAGCGGGTTTTCTGTCTTGCGAGGCGTTCGTCTTGCGGGGCACCACTGTAAAAACAAGAACTCAACCCCCTCCACACAAATAATCAGAGAGAGAAAATAGAACTTAAAACACACATGTACAGTATTTGTAATAAAACATATAAAAATTAAAAAGTCAATTTAACTGTCTTTCAAATAAAAAAAAATTAGCCATTGTTTTCCCCCTCAATTGCAACCATTCATAGAAGCTCTTTGATCCAGTGGAGGCTTCCATGAAGGGGCACTGGGAGGCAATGTTCTCTTACTCCCCTTTCCTTCCTTAGCCCTTGTCCCCATCCCGTCAAATGGGAAAGCAGTGAGCATGTAAGTGGTAAACCTCAACTAGTCAAGCCGCCTGCCATGTCAGCAGGAAAAACTAACTGAAAAGTATCCATTACTAGGACCCATGCTAGTTTTGATTGCAATTTGTTTTAAGCAGTTTTAATGCTGTATTTTGTATTACTGTAACCTGACAGTGCAGGGCATGTAACAAATCTAAACAAGTGCTCGTAGCAATTCTCATCTCTCTCCACCTGGGACAGTTCTTTCTGCCTGGCAATTTTGCAGATGCAATGGTGGCAGAAAAGTAGGTTGTTTTTCCCCTGCCATCACTTACACTGCAACATGGGCTCTGTGTTAGGTTGGATACTTTCTAAAACTTCTGCCACCTGTGCTCCAACCATAGCACTAATCATTTCATTGCCCTCAATTACTAATTAAGTCAATTTCTTTCAGCTTAAATTATTCAGTTATATACCAGATGTTTCACTGCCACAGATGAACACAACACATGACAACAACAGAACAATGGAAGTTCAGTTAATACTTATAACTTGTTTTATAGTCTTTCCCTATAGCTTTTCACCAATCACTCAAGCTGTCCTGAAACACATACAGATGAACAATGGTGTGAGCTATTTTGTGGTACCTCTGGTTACGAACTTAATTTGTTCCAGAGGTCTGTTCTTAACCTGAAACCGTTCTTAACCTGAGGTACCACTTTAGCTAATGGGGCTTCCCGCTGCCGCCAGTGCACAATTTCTGTTCTGAGGTACAGTTCTTAACCCGAGGTACTACTTCCGGGTTAGAGGAGTTTGTAACCCGAAGTGATTGTAACCCGAGGTACCACTGTATTTTGCAAGTTTGTATTGAAAAATTGAGAAAGCTGATGATTTGTTTAGATTTGGGTTTCTTAAAAGTCTGAGACAAATTGCCATTAACCACCTAGTCAGAAGCACAAGATCTATTTAGTATTCCATTCCCCCTGAGACAATTATCCTGGAGTATCTAGTTATAGTTATTCAATTTGTCAAAGCTTCTGCAATTCCTGACAAAACACAAAACATTCAGATGAAATTGCCAAGACTGGAATATGAACCTCAGGAGGCACTCAAAGAAAAGACTGCAGCAGAGCCCCAGAAAGAAATTTTCTGAGAGTATCTCTTTACACCAGCAATGTCCTACTTGCATTATTTACTGTGAAAAATGTGGGGGCAAAATGTTCTAAAGAAAACTTAAGGTTCTTTATTCCACAGCATCACCAAATCAATAAAGCACTGTCCATCACAGGTAATGGAGCAAAAGGGGCAAGACAATATGCTTTAGTAGACAAAATGCTTTAGTAGACAAAACTCTGATGGCAAAATATTACGCAATGTTTTCAGTAACCAAGTGTTCTTTCTTGGGTAAACTTTCTGCATGATTCTCTGCACTATCCTAACCTGTAGTATGTTGTACAGATTTTTTTTTAAAGGTTAATATGGAAATAAGTCATGGAATTTGCCACCTAACTGCATGTTTGAATTGAACAGTAAATGCTATTGGCAATGGGAATGAGAGATGTGTTTGTGATCAACTACCCAGAGGACATTGTTATAATGGGTGGCAAATAAATTTCTGAATAAATAAATAAATAAATAAATAAATAAATAAATAAATAAACTGCCCCTTTTTGTTTTCATGATATAAGCTTGCTTTAGTGCTATCCATAATGTTTATCTCAATAGTTTAAAGCAGGGTAGACAATATATTGCTGGACTACAAATTCCATCATGACTGAAAGATTTTTCCTTCGAATTCCAGCTTGAGGTCAAACCAAGATCCAAAAGAAAAATGTTCCTTTGAATCCCTAGTCTGAAATTGTGTGTTCCTGATTCTTTCTCTGCATCAAAAATAAGTCAACACTTTTGGAATTTTGCACCTTTTTCTATCACTGTGCAAGAAGGCAGAAAAGACGGCCAAATTCAAAAAGTGCTGACTTTTGTTTTACACGTTTGAGTTCTTCTTTCTTTTAGCCATAGCTTGAACTTGTTTTAGTTTTTCTTAATGCTTTAAAGTGTTTTAAATATGGTTTTGTGGGGGGTTGTTTTGTTCTATTGTATGGTCACTTTATTGTTTGCTGCCTTGGGCTCCTTAGGCAAGAAAGAAATTTAATAAAGGAAAGCCAACATTTCTGCCCCAAATGTCATATATGATGTCAGGCTTGAGAAAGAAAGAAAATGGCCTGGTAGGCCAACTTCTCAGACCAGGCCAGCCTAATGAGGCCCTAGGCTAGTTGCCCCAGCATTACACTACACTCAGATCTTTCTGGGACTGTTCACCCATTTCTTGACCCTCAGATCATACTCTAAAATGAAACTAGGAGTAGATATTGAGCTTACATCCTTCCTCACTCACTTTCCCCAGAAACCAAGATTAGTCTGAAGTTCAGACTACTGACTGAACTAAGGAGATTTGGAGAAAGAAGCATCAAGGTAACGTAGTCATTTAAATGTAAGCAAACATAGGTTCTTCATTGTTCATATGTTATTCCCAGGTAAATGGAGTTTAGGGATTTAGTTGAGATTCCTGCATTGCAGGGGGTTGGACTAGATGATCCTCGGGGTCCCATCCAACTCAACAATTCTATTTTTCAATGACTCCAATGTCCATTCCACCCCAAGTAAATCTTTGAAAGCAAGTACATTTTGTGTCCTTAGTTAAAGGCAGAAGCCCTTTAGATTTTTTTCTATAATCAAGGAGTATATAAATGTTATGAAATAAATAAATTCAAAGGGCAAAAGAGAGAGTATGCACTCATGCACACACAACAATCACAGCTATGCCTCCTTGATACAGTCCTATAGCAGCAGTCAGTTCCAGCTTTCCCTTTTGGCCTTTATCAACCTACACACACACACACACACACACACACACACACACACACACGAAACTAGGAACCAAAAGCACAGTCCAAGTTTAAATACTCATGTTTACAGCAGCTTCACTAAATAATACCAGCTTTAAGGAACAGATATGCTAGCTTGCCAAAAGCACACGATAGGAAGCACACAATAGCACAGACCAAGTTTTCAAATTAGTAAGTCTAACTCACTTTATTTTCTCCACTGCACCCACTGTTGTTATCATTATCTTCACCCTCACCCTCCTCCTCCTCCTCCTCCTCTTCTTCCTCTTCTGGTAGTGGCACAGTACCATCATAGCCGTAACGGCTAAGAAGCTCATGAATTGGCATATCACCTTCCTAAAAAGAATTAAAACAGGAAATTATAATAATTCCATGAATTTTATACCAATGTTGTAATCTGTAGGCTGTCTGGTCAACAGTGGCTACAACTGTCCTCTGGAGAGCAGATGTCAGCCTGCATGTATTGTCCTCTGACTCAACTCTATCCTGCTCTTTTCAAGGCAGAGCAAAGACAGCATGAGGGACTAGTGCAGTTTGATACGATGATACCATGGCAATCTACACCCCCAGGCACAAGAAAAGCAAAATCATTCCCTCTATAATGTTTCCTGCTCTGCATATGTAGAGAGAAAATAGCACAGAGACTGATCACTATCCCTTCTGTTGGACTTGACAATGGTAATGATGAGGACAAGGGGTATGACAAATGGAGCAGGGGTTGGGTGATCTCCATCTTAGTAATTAGCAGCAAAGTTCTTTTACGGTAGGCACAGATTACAACACAGAGTGGGGAGGGTTTCTACAGAATGAAATGACAATAATATCTAATCTTCAACAACTAAGGGGTGTGTGTGTGTGTGTGTGTGTGTGTGTGTGTGTGTGGCAAGGACATTGGGGCGGGGGAATAATATTTATCGCCTTTGACATGATGATCCCATTGCTCTGGTTGGAAAATTTTCCCCCAGAGAAATATTTTTGCAGGTCAACAATGGATTTACACCAAAGAATAGAGAAATCTTTTCAGTCCAAGGGCTACATTCCCTTCTAGTGCTTGGTGGATCCAGAGGAAAGAATGGTAACAATGAATGTACATATTACCTTTGTACATTAAGTTAGTTTCTACACACGTCCTCACACACCCCTCTCTATCCTCCATCCAAGGAAGCAAGATTATCAGAATTCAGGGACACATTCTAGCCAGGCAAAAAGACTCAAGGAGAGTGTGCAGTTAGGTCAATAGAGGTGTGATGGGGAGGGGAAGAAGAGGAGGTGGCCTGGGGAGGAACTGAGCTACCAGATAAGAGTGGTTTGGAGTGATACATTTGGATCAAAGTTCTCAACCCATTAGGACTTATATCTCATCACCCCTGCCAGCATGCTGAAATTTATAACTTATGACTGCAGAGTTAAACTGAAAATGTTACAGAAAACATGAGGGGGAAAAACAAGTAAAAGAAACACGGAGAAAACTTCATTGTTTTTCCTCCCCCCCCCCAAATTATTTTTATTAATTTTCCAAATTATTACAAATCAAACCAAATTAATTTCATACAATTTCTTAAAATCAGGTTTCCTGCTCCTGTTCCAAACTCACGGTCATCATCATTTCATCGCATAGCCGCATCGTTTCTTATTTAAGTCCAGCTGAGAACCTTCATTTGCCGTTAAACCATTCTTCCAGCTTGCCACTTCTTTCACCTTACAAATAGCACCTCCATTACATTTTATAAATAAATGATCAATTTCACCTGTGTGGTCCTTCCTATATATTGTTGTTCCAGACCTGGTGTGCTGGTTGAGTTAATTACTATCTTCCATTGTTCAGTTCTTTGTAGTGCTTATCTGGATGGTACAAAGTTACATTCCATTCCTTCCGCTGTTGACAGACTAGCGTACGAGCTGCAGTCATAAATAACTCACAAAGTGCATATCCAAACTCCGCCATTAAAATTCCACTCTGGAGTTCTTCCTCGGCACACAGTTAAAAGCAAGATCTTTTCTCAAATTCAGCCTCTTTATTGCATCTGTTCGGCAGCAGTTTTTCTCCCACTGCATTTCTCTAACAACAGTCCATGAATAATTTTAAATAAAGTCTATTCAGCATCGGTCGAGGGGGGAGGGCATAGTAAAACCTTGTAAAATTCCTTGTTGAGCATAGACAAAAGCCTCCCCCCTCTTTTCCGAAATAACAAACAGAATAACATGGCAGCGGCTACACATGTCCTTTTCATTATGCATGGGAGGACAGGGAAAAAGGAGACCACTTGAAAACCATAAAAAGCACAAAGTACCTTGTCCACTTCCTTTTTTCCCTGGCTGTTGTAAGGATTCTCAAGCTTCAAATAAAACATCAAAGAAACCTTCAAAGATTCAAGTCCAGTCCTTCGGGCAGCTAACTGATTGCAGTCTATTGGCGTATGTCAGTCCAGGAGTGCCTCTTGATTAATGCCAATTGTCCGAGTTTTGGAGGAACCAACCACAAATCATGCCAGAGATGGAGGCTCGTCCATGGCAGGGACACACAGCCAGGTCGCACCCGCTCTGCCTTTCAAGTTAGTAGACACAAGCTTGAGCGGCACAGCAGGATGCAGTGAGCTCCCCAGACCCCACTAGGAAACAACGCCAGGATTTTTGCCTCATAAATCCTGGCTTTTCCGTGCCTAAAACTCCTCACTGCCTGTGGAGGGCAGCGAGGAGCTACCACCATTGACTTGTGACGTGGCCGGAAAGCAACTTCATTGTGCTTTCTTCAACTCTCATGATTTCTTAGGTTGTTATTATGAGGATTTATAAACATAGCAGTTTAAGGTTTTTCACACCTTGTGGATTAGGCTTTCAGAGTATCACCTAAGAAGCTTAACAACTGCACCATAGATTTTTCATCTATGTCCAATAAAATAATATGAAAATCATATTGTTATCCAATCATATGCAACTTAACTGTAGTTGGTTGACCAAAATATTTTTCCAAGGCTATTCTTAATATGAAATAAGCTTCTTAACATAGCTGAGTGTATGCAGTATTTTTGGCACACATAACCTTGCTCGTACTAGTCTTCCACTAAAATTCAATGCTTCTGACCTTCACTGTTCTTTTCTATGAAAACTGACATCTGATTAGTGGTATAATACTCCATGCCAAAAACTGCAACACTTTGAAGAGATACACATTTTGCTACTACCACTTATAAAACATATTACAGTAAGAAATCTTGGCCATGTTTATGGTTGATAGAAGATGCCACAGTGAGTCTCAGGTTTGGATGCTCTACCCTCCAGTCTCTCCCCCCCCCCTGCAGTTGGGGGTTATTTGGAAGCTTTTGCCTTCCGTTTTTGTTAACTGTAGTTTGTCAGGTTGTCTGTGGCTACTGACTATGTTTCGCACTAAGGCTGCATTTGTACTTCACGATAAGTCATAAATCATGACTTACCATGCACATGAGTGAATTGTACTTGCTTCACTCCTCCTTGCTTGCACTGGGAGAAAACAAACCACATTCACAGCCTGAGGATTATCTCTCAACAGGGAATAATGGTCTGTTCCACTCCAAACTACAACCAGGAGTCAAGAATCAACCTTGGCTTACTAACTATGGTTTGTTGGAGTCAAACAAACTACCATCCTGTTTAGATTTAACACCAAGCCAGGATCTTAATTTGTTTTCCCTCTGTGTGAGTGCACAAAGCAAACTCACTCATGCATGGTAAACCACAGTTTATGGCTTCCCATCAGGTACAAATGCAGTGTAACAAGGATTAATTTCAAATAATGGGCTATAAAGCTGTTAATCAATTAGTGTTGCCATACGTCCAGGTTTTCCTGGACATGTCCTCTTTTGGGAGGGGGGCAGCACGCACATCCGGGTGGGTTTCTGCATTTTACATGAAGTGCTTGGGTTTTGGGGGTTTTATTATGACCATTATTATTATTAGTAGTAGTATTATCTGTGTTAGGGTTGCACTTGGCCTTGTGATGTTTCCGGCAGCTGCCAGGCTTGGCACAGCCTTCTCGGGGTCACTTAGTCTCCCATCATCTGGAGATGCAGCATCTCCTGAGCAGGGGCCAAAGAGAGCAAAGGTAAGAGAAGGGAGGGAGGGTGGGAGGGAGGGAGCAGGTGGGCAAAAAAGGGGTCAGCGGCAGGGAGGGGGCGAGTGACAGAGATGCGGGATGGTGGTGGGGGTGTCCCGAATGTGTTCGGGTTTTTGCTCTTCAGAATATGGTAACCCTAGATGACATGGCAAACTCATGCGCACTGCATTGAGCATGATGTGCAGATATGACCAGTATGCTTACTGAATGACAGCAGAACCTTTAATGTTCTCATTACATTGCTAATCTGCTCACTCTCATTCCCCAAACCAGGCTTCCTTACCATTCCTTAGGGCTTTACAACTCATCCTAGGAACTCATTAACAAGTTAACTGATTAAAGGTATTTTTCCCCCTTCAGAATCCTCTTACTGAAATACTATATTTTTCCCCAAAGCACAACTTTATGTCAAATATTAGGCAGTCAAACTGGCTGCCCACACAAAATAGCTTCCAACAAGTCCAAAAATTTATGCCCCCATCCCTTGGTCCAAAACTATTATTAATTTCAGAATTAAATAAGCTACATAATGATGCAAACTTTAAAAATGCAATAAAAATAAATTTAAGAAAAGTGAATCAATCAACTGGCTTAAATTAGACATACTTTAAAACAAATGAACAGCCTTATGAACTTTGTACTTGATATACACTATAGAAACCTCTTCTTTGTACATCTCTTATTTGAGCTCCTGTCAAAGATCATGACTATGGACCATACTGAACTGATTCTAGGGCAACTGAACTGTGGCAACAGAAGATATAAAGGTGCTAAGCAATGTTTGCTTAGTTGCTTATTTCCCCTCTTGGTACTGGCACTTTTAAGTACCATTACACAGTTTCTCAGGCACTTGGGGAGTCTTCATTTAGTCAGCATGAGTTCCTCACATGACATCCCTATAACAAAATAAACAGAGGAGGATAAAGTGTACTGCTAAATCAGGACAGAGTACCCATGATACGGAGAAGTGGTCATATAATGTAGATCAGGGGTGCCCAATTGGTGGTCCATGGATCCCAGGGGGTCCATGTAACCCACCCAGACGGTCCATGGCACCATTCACATAACAAAAACTACCACAGAAATGTCAAAATTTTCAATAGTAGGGTCCATGGATTGGCTTTTGAAAAACAGAGATCTGCAATACTTAGCTAATGGGGAACCACTGGTGTAGACTGAATATGGTGGAACTACCCTGAAAACACCTAGTGCCAAGGATAGGGAACATGAGGCCATCCAGACATTGCTGGACTACAACTCCCATTGGTTATACTGGCTGAGGTTGAAGTCCAACAACTGAAGAGCCACAGGTTCCCCACACCTACCCCTATGCCTTTCACCCAAAGCCCATTTAACACAACCCCATTCTGCTGTTAACTAAGAAATGCATCTTTCCCCAGGTAATAGAATGTCAAACCATTTCCAAGACAAAACTACTTCCCAAACAAAATAGTGTTTTGTTCAAAAATATTTTCTAGCATTTACCCTTGTAAGATCTTCTATTTCAGAACTGAAGTTTGTTTCACCTTCCATCATTTCTTCCTCTTCTAAAGTTCGTTCATCATCAAAGTCATGAACCAGCATGTCAGCCGTTGGGTCAAATTCATGGTCATCTGATGTTGCAGACCCTCCTACAATTTGATTAACCTCACAGTTGATCACATTGTAGACTTAAGTGTTAAAATCATTATTACCACATGCAAATTATTTTAAAACCAAGATTAATATAGCAGTGAAACTTTTCTGCAAAAGCCAAATCTCTAAATAATTAGTCAACCAATAAATAAATAAATAGTGTTATTTGAAGGCTAGATTCAAAAATCATAAAGCATGAACATTGGTACTAATAAGTGCAAGCCTATACACAATTCAGAAGTAATTCCTAGGGAGTTAAATAGAACTTACCCCTAGGTAAAAGACTGTAGCTTATAACTTTACCCAGTGTTACAAAGCAAGATATAGCTAGGTTTTTAATTCATTCCCAGAGTCAAGCTATAAAGCAGTGCATGTATAGAAAACTATGACCTCATAATGTTGGCTTCCTGCTGGATTTTTAGCTTGAGAGTAGAAGGTGGAAAGATCAAATGTTCATGTTTTTGTGATGGGAAGTGCAAATATTTGGCTTTAAGAATTTATTGCATTGCAAAATGGTACAATTGTTATGTCACTGAACAAAAAGCTTTTCCTATAATCAATACTAACCAGCTGGCTGTCTGGCACTTTGGAAGTGCTGTGCAAAATCTTTTGCAAGTTCTTTGCCCGGGAAAGCACAGAGCTTGGAAAGCACTTGCACAGCACTCCCCAAATGCTCAGTAATTTTATTATAATAATTAAGCGCCTGATTACTAGGCACCTGGGAAGCACTGTGCAAAATGCATTCCGAACTGTGTGCTCAGTGCTTCCTAACAACAATCAGCAGGTTGCTGGACATTTGGGAAGCCTTGCACCCAGGGCAGAACAAGCCCTCTGAACTATTACACACCAGCTCCATAGACCAACTTTGGCAGAGGTCAGTCACCTGATTTCTTTATGGCATCAGATAGTGAGGTGGGTGATCCCACCTACTTGCCGAAGTTGACTTGTGAGGGTGGGCAAAAATAAAGGTCCAGCCTCCCAGGCCAAAAAAATTCCCCCTCCTACTCTAAAGCATGAATCATACAACTCTGCACTTGCCAATACCTAGTGGATGGTGCAGAATACAGCACTTCAACAACAGGGCAACTAAAAAATTATTTAAGCACATGACTGAAAAGAAGCCTGTAGTACACAAAATTTTATATTTTGGACCACATACAGGTTTTTGGGAAGTGCCCAGCACCCTGATTCACCATACCCAACATGTATAATGTACTAAGTCTAACCCAGTGTGGATTCCTGGTTATTCAGTTCCACAGGAAAAGGACTAGCAGATCAGCACAGGGGGCAACCCCAGAATTGGGAATACTACAGACAAACACAGTTAAACTTGATGACTTGCCTCTACTTCATTTTTAACAATACTGCACTAGCTGTGCAAGAAGAGACTTTCATTCTGGCAACATGTTGAATAGTGGAAGCTTTCAGACTTACAAATACAATGATTTGTTAACATGGACAAAATTAGCTGTTAACAAGGATAACCCCTGGCCCAATCATACTATGCCTGAAAGGGCTCAGGACCAGTATAAGACTGCAAGTTGCTAATTTCAGCCAGCACTAGAACATGCCTTTATCCACGACAAAGTGGAAACTTTTACCCCCTTCTTAACAAATTCATGCATGGGATTCTGAAGTATGTCAGATAAGCACTGAACCACCTTTACCATAGGTGGGTCGTTTTTTGCCCTAGTGCAAATTCAAAAGCATGTTAATGGCAACTGTGTAAGAGCAACATGGCTCACCCATGTTTTGCTTAGCAGAGGATGAAAATTAAGATGTAGGAATATCCCCTCAAGACCAGATTGTCTTGCAGAATAGAACATAGTTAATTCCAGCAGTTACTGTGTATACAATAAAATATATTCAAGTCTCGCCGGTTATAAAGGGCTCACTTTTCTATCCAAGCTTTGTAAATATCAGAATAAAACTTTACCTGGGCTTGCAGACTCAACAGAAGGCTATCAAAAAAAGGAAAGAAAAAAAGAAAAATGTTATCAGTGAACAATTTCCAAATATTTTGCAATACATTGTGAAATATGAAGCATAAACCAGAATATTTCTGACTTTCACTGCAACATTTCGATCAATCATATAACAGCCTAGAAGTATTTGTTTTGAATAAATAAATATCTGACAGAAAACACACTATACCACAAGACTGACACTATGTAACAAAAGACCATAACATTTACCCTTTCTTAAAACATAAAAACAGTAAGAACTGAAAATATGTGCATCACAGGAAGTTATCTCTAAACTGCATTTTTACTTGGTATAAGCAATGAAACGCAAAAATCTGTCATCATTTCACGTGAAAACTTTTAACAAATGCCATTTCTACTTTCTAGTTTTTAAAGTTCGATAAAGCAGAACACATATACGTGCAAAAAGCCACAACCATGTGAGGGCGTTCACATTTCATAATGTGAGTAATGAATGCCTCACTACATGTTGTTACATCATGATAGTCCAGTAAAACAAGGTTGTGTTTTAGCATTCCTGAAACATACAGACTAGCAATGTTCAGCTCAATGCAACACAGCTTTTTCCATCCCTAGCTATTATTGGAAATTGCCTAAAAGTAAGCCGCTCAACATGCAAGACACATGACAAATAATGTCAGTACACTATGTGTTTAAATGGATCTCCAACCCAGTGAAAGAAATTAGCCAGACATCAGGAATGTTTTGCGACTGGTGCAGGTCGAATTGCAACCACGTGGGGATCTGTGGATGCCAGGTTGGTGACTGGGGAAAGCAAAATGTCAGTCAGAGAAGGATATTAAATATTTTCCTTGAAGCCTATATTTGTTTTATTCTGGATTTGATGTTTTAATGTGTTGTAAACATTTTTGAGATTTTTTCTTTAAAATATAAAGTGGCATAGAAATGAAAATAAACAACAATACCAATATCTGGGGGGGAGGGGGGAGAAGACATTCCATTGTGGTGACTGTAACCTAGGTTTAAGGTGCCATTTGCTGATTAGCTTATATAGCTGAATTTCTAACACTGACCTCCCCCTCCCTTTAAAAAATTAGCTTTTCAAACGTTACAGTCAACAATTCAAACACTTAACAGTGTCATTTGTGTCCCTACCAGCACAACAATCATTTAATTTTATTGCTAGTTGTCTTTCTGGATCACTGTTGCTCCCAAAGGAGCCCAAGGTGTACAATATAACATAAAAATAAAAATATTAGGATTCACCTGCACAAGACCTTCTGTTTGCACAATAGGGTTCCCTGTTCAACACACCCCAATTGGCTCTGGAGGGGATCAAAACAGCACACAAGGGGAGGAGACATGGGATTGTTTTATCTAGAAAGCTGCAATGCTTGCACAGATGAAACAAACGGAAGCCCACAGCACCGAATTCCACCAAAAATATACATAAGAAATAACAACAAACATACAGTCAACTTGCAACTTTCACACCATTAACTTGCACAACCTCAGCTTTATGTGCTCGGTGGCCAGCTAGCTGAAATCACACAAATGAAATGTATGCAAGGCATAGAGCTTTAAAGCTGTTTCCCAGTGTGGAAAGAGCTTTTCGCCTTGCTTACCGGGTTCTGAGAGACTCTTGCGACATCTCAGAGAGCCCCACAAGATCTTGAGAGAGCCTCCTAGAGTCCCAGAGCCCAATAATTAAGGCAGAGAGCATAAATGCTCTCAGCCTTGCATGGGGGGCAAGCCTGCTTGGCGTCAAATGGTTCCTTAAACCAAGATTACATTCGCCAAAATGGAATGTCTAGTTGCCATTTGGGGGCAAGATGGCTCTAAAGTCTTGTTTTTCAAACAATGGACTGACTGTGATTATCAGTTAAACATCTAGTTAGTTTAGATGACAACCTTGAGCTAGGTTAAGAACTTTGAGAATTTAAGAAAAGTCACTTTTATCCAGTTGACTTGATAAAAGTCCATTGGCCTATGTCTACCTCTTTTTCTTAATGATGAGACAGACCATTCATAACGTAAGAATATTCTTCATAACTTTGAGCAGGGTAGCGATGTGGGGTACAACAAGCTACAACAATTAACTATAATGTTGTTCACCGCTCCTGCTCAGGCTGCACAGAAAAAGCATTTTGGTTCCTGAAATTCATTCTGATTGTGCAGATAAAATATAACTGATAGAATTCTACAGGGTGTGGTATTAGTGTGTGAAAACTGTTAAGATCCAATGATTCCCAGGCATGCACCTTCAGATGGTGATGTCAGGCACCATCCTGGCACCCAGGCATCTTCACTTGGTCACAAGTGGCTGACAGCCAGGTGCAACATGTGCCTGGTGCCTGGCTAATTTTGATCACTGTTTGGCACTGAATGCCTTATTCAAAACTGAAAAGTTAGACAAGAGGCTGGAGATCTTTAATCACTATCTCCTATAATGTTAAAATAAACAGTTATGGGGAAGGCAACTTAATAGGGGCTGTGGCATAGGGGCTGTTTTTATTCTTTAAATGCACCCAAAGCTGCTATTTTCCCATGGGAGAAACAGAAATTCCCCTATTATGGCTGCTTGCTTTCCTGGTAATACAAATAGTAGCTGGTGGAGGGATCTGGATTAGAAGGCGGCACAGGGAAACAATGAGCCCTTCCCTCAGCAATTGGAAGGCGGCTGTATGTGATTCTAATTTAGATTTTTTTAAAAGAAGATCCCAGTTATGGCTTTCCTGCATTGGAGACACCCATCCAGCTCACATCTAAGCTACCCAAGACCTGTTTTATATACATCTGTACTAACCAGAAATCTCTACATATCAGCAGTGGAGAACATCTGGCCCTCCTGATATTGTTGGACTTCCAACTTATATGAACCCCAGACAGAAAGGCCTAATGGTTTGGGATCATGGAGCTATAGTCCAACAACATGCAGAGGCACCAAGTTCCTCATCCTTGCTATGCCTCATCTACAAGTGCAGGTCACACTGAGGCATTTTCAGCTCTGAAGTTACATTACACAGATAAGGAAGAAGCAGTCTGGATTACTTTAGTTAAGTACTTTATCCGTATTTTAGCAGGGAATGGATTATTTCAATTTACTAGATAAATTAACAATAGTTAAAATTGTATTTTTTATTAAATAATCAATAAAACTTAATTTTAAGAGCGTACAATTTTAACTATTCTCATGAATGTGTGAGTTATTTCAGGCTCAAAGAGACTTTAAACTTGTTCAAAAAAAGTAATTTTTGGGGTAAAAAAATTACTTCAAAATCAATTTATTTTATAACCACAAAAAACACCCTCCTTATTTTTAAAACACAACAAGTACATGGTTAGCCCATTCTACAAAACAAGTATGATACATGTCTTAGTTATGGTTTGCGCGGGGATTCGAACCGCCAACTTTCCGATCGGCAAGCCCTAGGCTCAGTGGTTTAGACCACATCGCCACCCGCGTCCCTCTATCTCATAGGTATCTACACATAAAAAATTTTTTGAAGAAAATTTGAGTCATGAGAGCATGGTCAAGTATTAAAATCAGGTGATTTGGCATGGAATGACCCTTCAATCAGTTTTTGTCTGTAGCTGTGAATCCATGTGCAATACTGGCAATTTTGCTTGTTGGTCTATTTTACATATCACTCTGACTAAAGCACACCAAAGGGTGAAAAATGCAGACACTGTTCTGCCACCTCAGTTTCCATTATGAAGTTATATCAATATTAGTGCTCAGATACAGTTAATAGGCTGCACATCTACTGAAGGTACAATCTACAGAAAGCTGCTTTGCTGCAAAGTAGACTCAATTCAAGCAATGACCATTTCCCTCTCCTTTGCATTGCCTGTCAGGGTGCACTCAGATTAATAGTAATTTACCTCATCCTCAGGCAAAAAACTCCACAAACTACAAGTTTTTGCAGGACAACACAGTTATCTAATTCCTTCACAACAGTACAGTCACCCCAGCACTTTCAAGTTCTCCATATTATAATTGTCCAAGGTAATGAACCACCACCTTAGGAAAAGATTTATTCTTTACCTTTACTTATACGTGATATTAAGCTGACTGTCCCTGTACACTCAAGAAGATAGAACCATGTAGTGTTCCAAATGTCATATTGAAACCTTAAAAATGCCTTTCCAATAGTAAAGCCTAAGTTCTCGTGCAGGTGCATTTATTATTTTAGAGTAAGTAAAGGATGCTGATTTTTAAAAATGGAAATCACTGTCCATTCGGTGCTAAAATTCTTTCTAATTTAGTGAAGTCAGCTGAAAAGACTTACAGAACAATCCTAACTATAGGAAGCCAGCAAAACTTACTTGTTAACATGGTCTAAGTCAGTGTTTTTCAACCACTGTTCCGCGGCACACTAGTGTGCCACGAGATGTTGCCTGGTGTGCCATGGGAAAAATTGAAAAATTCGAAAGATTTAAAAATAAAGTATTTTATAATTTTTCATATTTCTGTTTACTTACTATTTCATAATAAAGTAATTATAAACTACTTTCTTTGTGTTTATTTGATTCCTATTCAAGAGAATTACTTTATATATAGTCAATATAGGCACAGAGTTAATTTTTTTAACATTTTCTAATGGTGGTGTGCCACGTGATTTTTTTCATGAAACAAGTGTGCCTTTGCCCAAAAAAGGTTGAAAAACACTGGTCTAAGTTACCCCTTTTCCAAACTCTGTTCAAGAGGTGGACTACTGCCAGCTCAATCAGCCTGAGCCTGGCAGAGGAATGTCAGCCAGCATAGCCCTGGCTGAACCTAGCCTCATCCAGCTCAGCTAGAAATCTAATCACCTCAGTGGATCTTGGGTTTACATTGCACTTGACAGAGGGGTCTGTGCACCTAACCTTGCCAGCCTCCACTGGCCTCTAGTTAACCACCGTTTGTGGAAATATACCACGCCATTGGCACAGAGCTCTCCCTTCCAATCAACATGCGTAAGGGTGCAGAAGTGCCATTGGTGAGAGTCTCCGAGCGCAGCAGGTTTGTGGAT